CTGCTTCTCCCTCTGACCCTCCCCCCTCTCGTGTGCTCTCTCTCTCTCTCTCTCAAATAAATAAATAAAATCTTAAAAAAAAAAAAGTTTTACAAAGCAGATTTGGTGATTTTTGTTTGTTTGGTTTTTTGTTTGTTTCTTTTATTACCAAATGTAACCTTGGTTGTATGTAATGAAAACTTACTACACATTCCTTAATGCAGAAGAGGCCATCTGAATGTTCTTTTTAGTCCCTTAAAAGCTCCTAGCTAATATAATCAAGTAGTTTTGTCCACTAGGAGGTTGGTTTGTCTAAAATCTGATTGTTATGCCATTTGTGTGACCAAGCTTTTACTTGCTCTTGGACAGCACCAGAGTTCCTAGAATAGAATCTACCTTAAATCATCTCTGAGCTTGAGGTATCACTGACCTTTCATTAACTGAAGACTCACAAATTGCTAGTTTTATTTCTGGCTTGCTATTCCATTTGCCTCATTGGGTGGCTGCTGGGTTTTCTTGAAGGCATTATTTATTAGACTCACCCGACACAGACTGTTATTTGAAAGTCTTCCTCATTGGACGTTCCAGTTTATTAATACTAGCTTTGATTTAGGTAGTATCTACTCATGTTTTTCATTAGTTTTCTTTAGAAGTTGGAGTTGTGTTTATAAAGAGAAAGATAGGGAAAACTGATATTAACCTGTGTGGTAAAGAATAATTTTAATTGGATTTAGAATGCTTTCATGGTATCTTCCTACCTTTTTTCCTTGTTTGAGTAGTGTTCTGCTTTTTTTAATATCTTGGTCTTAATTCTTTTTTTTTTTAAAGATTTTTATTTATTTGAGAGAGAGAATGAGATAGAGAGAGCATGAGGGGGGGAGGGGCAGAGGGAGAAGCAGACTCTCTGCTGAGCAGGGAGCCCGATGCGGGACTCGATCCCAGGACTCCGGGATCATGACCTGAGCCGAAGGCAGTCGCTTAACCAACTGAGCCACCCAGGCGCCCTCTTGGTCTTAATTCTTAACTTTGATAAATTTCAGTTTGGTAATTTCAGAGAACCAGTCAGATCTATTTTACCTAAGAAGTATTCCTACTCTAATTTTGAGGCAATACTGCTTTTTGAGTGGATGATACGAACTCAGAGGCTGTTCAGTTACCTATCAGGATACCTTGCTTCAGCCTGCCCAACTTTTGAGAACTTGGACTCCACTTTTTCTGTAGTTTTCAGTGAACACATTCTCTTTGTCATAGCATAGTTAACATCATAAAGTAACAACTTGGCTTGGCATATTTTAAAATTTTTTGTGAATATCTAAAAGCAGTGGCTTTATCAGAGTAAGTTGGATGAAAGCATTGAAGCTTTTTTCCACTAATAATTATGTGTGTGTTGTTTTTATTTACTTCTAGCATGTTTTGGGGATTTGAGTTTTTCGCACTATGTAGTCACAACTTTTGGTTAAACATTAAACATTTGGTTAAACACACAGAGTTAGCTGCTTTATAAATTTTTTTAGAGCCAGTACATGTGTATTTCAATAGTTGAGGAAATTTTCAAGGCTTTTATCATTTAATTATTTAATTTTAAGAGAAATTGCCTTTTAAATACTTTATAGGATATTAAAAGTCTTTGAATATTGTATGACTTTGAAACTTGAAACCACTTCAGTCTTCTAATCGTTTATATTTTGACAATCAGATTTATAGATGTCATCATATTTTCTTTCTTAGCTTTGTGGTATGGACCAATTTTGGGGCATTGCTTTAAGAGCACAATCTGGTGATGTCAGTCGAGCAGCTATCCAGTATATTAACTCCTATTATATTAATGGTGAGTGATTTAGAATATTGTCTGATAATTTCTAATGTAAGGATTTTTGTTTAGCTACAATTCATTTTTTTTAACATAGCTAAACAATAAAGCTTGATATACTGTCTAAACATCTGATTTTCAGGTAAAACGGGTTTGGAGAAGGAGCAAGAATTTATTAGTAAGTGTATGGAGAGTCTCATGATAGCTTCTAGCAGTCTTGAACAGGAATCACACTCAAGTCTCACTGTAATAGAAAGAGGACTCCTTATGCTGAAGACGCATCTGGAAGCATTTAGGAGAAGGTAATTGTTTTATACCACATTATTACAGTGAATATCAGGCCTTTTTTTTTTTTTTTATTGCTGACATGTACAAAAGTATTCTTAAAGTAAAGGTTTTGTTGGGGCAGGTAGAAAGCTTAACTTACCACAAGTGAAGGGTTAGTAATAGAAGTACTTTTATTCATAATATGTATCATTTTGCCGTGAAGGCAGCATAGGTTCCCAATAAATATTGTGGAACTTTAAAAATTCTTGAGCGCTGAGAAGATATGCATGAATAAGACTCTCTAGACAGAATTCCACCTCTAAGAAAGTATTACAGTGATTGAAAGGCAGAACACCACCACCAAAAAAAGTTTCACTAAAACCCTCACCAAGAACATCAAATAATCTCTCATAGTTGAATCAATTTGAGTCATTTGTTTCATTTGCTGTTTTTTTTTCTTCCTGGACTAGGAGACAGTATTTTAATTTTGAATTTCCATTTACCATGGAAACATGATCAAAAAATTCTGTGTTAATGAATATCTGTATAATTAATTTAGACATACCCTGTGTAATACAGAAATAAAGCAAATTAACATTTATGAATATATCGACTGAAATGAAAGGTGAGTAGATAGTTTTAATTAAGAAATTCTGTTTGTTAAAAATCATGACTAAATGTAAAAGTACAACGAACTGTGTTGGCAAAAATTGTTAAAATTTATCTTTCAACTTCAGAGCTTAGTTTGATAATGAGTGATACAGTTTATATTTTTTGAGATTCATCAGGAAATAATAATAAAAAGATATTCTACACATTCCTTATAAATAACATGGCTTCATGATTTAATATATTTGGGCATTGCAAATTCTTTATTTTGATTATGATTGCAATTTGTGGGAATTATACTTTAATAATTCCTTGTGTTTTTAAAGAATGTGTAAGGGAACTCTATAGAGTTTTTTTGGAACAGAAACATCACACTGCCTCATAACTTTTACCACTCTAAAAAATAAAAATAAGCAAATGTGATGTGTCTTATTCAAATTAATAAAAATAAATACTATTTATAAAATTAAGGGTAATACTGCAAAAAATGAAAGTCATCATAATCTATCTCTTCCTGTTAGAGATAGGTACTGTTAATGAGATGATACGTATTTTTCCAAAATTTTCTTTTTTGCTTCAGAGTCTACAAACAACAAACCAAAAAGGGCCTATTGGTTTAAACCCTTAGTCCTCACACAGTGTTACTTGTGTTTTTAAAATAAGCATTTATTTTAAAAGTCTTTAAAAATAAATTAAGTTTCCTAGGATTCAATGCTCCTATTTATAAGTTGAATGAATTTCACTTCAAAAATCCCTTCTCAGATGTACAATTTTTTTCTAACTCATGGAAAATGATTGTAGTATTCTTTGCTAGAAATCTTTTATGTTTGATCATGTTTTGCTCTAAAAGTTAATGTTGGTGTTAAATAATGTATTTATTTTTTGGGTGGCAGGTAGAGAAACTAGAAAACAGAATTGAATATTCAAAATACTAAGAGCTAGTTTAAAAATGTCAGGAATTTTCATGCGCACCTTTGTGTAATATCACTGTACAATTTCAAGTGCTTAATGTGCTTAATTCTAATTTAAAATTGCCTAACATTTATAGAATGAAAATATAAAGTAATTATTGTGTTTGTGTATTCCTTATATTAAGAGATTAAAACTGTTTTTTAAAACTTTTTTTTTTTTAAGAGGAAAGGTTATAATTTAAAGAGTGGTTCTCAACCAGAGTGATTTTGTTTGCCAGGGGGCATTAGGTAATTTGTAGAGACACTTTTGATTACCACAACTTAAGGGAGAAGGGGGTACTATTGGCATATAGTAGATAGTGATAGTGCTGCTAAACATCCTACTGTGCACAAAGACTGTTTCCCCTGCGTCCCCCCGCCCACGACTAAGAATTATCCGGCCTCAAAAGATTAAGATTACTCGTTTGCTCAGCCGTAAAAGCTGGACATTGGATTCCTTCTAGGAAATCAAGTCCATTTATTTCCTTACTTTTTGTCCTTCTATTCTAGAATTGCTGATTAGTTTTTGACATTGATAATTCTTTTCTTAACGAAATTCAGGTATCCTGGATCCTGTCTTCAAACAACTGAAAATCAGTTAGAAAACTGACAGTATTTAGTGAGTGACCTGCTAGATGCCTTTCTCCCTTAAGATTAGTCTTTGTGGTTTATTTTATAATTTCAGTCATGGAGTTAGCTCTCAAATTCTGTTAGGCATATATTTACTAGGATGCATTTCTGTTTCTGAAAAATGTTTCCCAATACCTTTTTTCCTCTTGTGATTGTAGGAATGAGAACTTAACATTTCCTGGATTAGTTTGTTTCTTTGAATTCCTCCCCTCTACTACCTCCCCCCTGCCCTTAAAAAAAAAAAAAAAAAAAAAGATAATGTTCTTAATGGGAAATTTTTTCCTCAGTAATTTTTCTTGTAAACTATCTTTTAAGGAACTCGTAGCTGTATTTATACATTTAAGTTGATGCAGTATGATGAATCTAAACTTAATGCTGTAGAGTAAGATGGAATGTGCTAGAACCTTTTGTGGGCTTTTTCATTTTGTAAAATATTAAAAACTTCCATAACATTAACATGGTTTAAAATGATATTCTTCCTATGTATGGTTTTTGTGTGTTTTAGGTTTGCATACCATCTCAGACAGTGGCAAATTGAAGGCACTGGTATTAGTAGTCATTTGAAAGCACTGAGTGACAAACAGTCCCTGCCGCTAAGGGTTGTCTGCCAACCAGCTGGACTTCCTGACAAGGTAGTTAAATAATTTTAGTTTCCAAATTGATAACATTTCCCAGTTCAAATATCTGTTCTTGTTGTATTTTTAAATTGGTTGCATCTCATATTTCAGATGACTATTGAAATGTATCCTAGTGACCAGGTAGCAGATCTTAGGGCTGAAGTAACTCATTGGTATGAAAATTTACAGAAAGAACAAATAAATCAACAAGCTCAGCTTCAGGAGTTTGGTCAAAGCAGTCGAAAGGGAGAGTTTCCTGGTAAGTCCAACAGTTTACATTTTCATATTTTTTAGGTTCTGTTATATATCAACTTAGAACCTTTGCTTCTTTTAAGAGTGCCAGGCATGTTCATGGCTCCCCTCCTTTTGGTAGGGTGCCATTGATTCACAGAGAGGAGTTAAGAGTTGCCACAGAAGTTATTTGCGAGTGTTTTTCCTCAAAAAAATTTTACTTCTGAGGTTATTTGATAAGCAGTGTGGGAATTACCAGTTCTACTTTCCATGCACTACTTAAGTACCTAATTTTACCCAATAAAATTTTTTGGTCATTTTGATATATTTCATTTCTTTTTTTTCCCAGAGCATATGAAAATAATACACCCTTAAATCCCACCTGTGTTTCTCCCCTTCCCTCCAAAAGAGTAGCCTATTAAGACATTTTTCATATAGCTCCAAAAAGCATACTTGGTTCCACCTTTACTGTAACCACTAGAGCATTTTTGGTGTCTTTCCATAGTACATAAAATATGAGCTAATCAGAGGAACAACCATGAAAGGTGTTATAATTTTAGAGCTTTAAATTTTAAGTAAAATGTAACAGGCTATATGTATATTTAGAAAAAAAATCTTGAAGTTTGGAAGTTTTTAGGATTTTTAATTTGCCTATGTGCAATGATAATTCTTTGGCATCTTTTAGATGATCATGCTTAAGATGAAACCATATGTATCTTCTAAAGTATCAGATCTTAAATTTTGTTCTTAAATAATTAATAAATACTCTTGGCACAACAAAATAGATGTTGAAAAGTCTCCCTCCTACCCCCATCTCTAAACCATCCATTTCCCTTCTCCTGAGGCACATGTTATTGTTGGCTTCTTATATATCCGTCAAGAGATACCAAGATGTAATGTAAGAATTATTCATGTACGTAAAACATAAATGGTAGCATTCCATTTATAGTGCGTCTGGAAAGTTACTTCATTCTTTTTAAATATACATATTTTTTAATATGGTGGTGCCGTGATGTGTTTTACTTATCTTCTCTTAATGGGCATTTAGGTTGTTTCCATTTGTTTGCTATTTACCAGCAATGCACAAAGAATATCCCTACACATATATCATTTAATGCATGTTGGCTAAATACCTAGTTATGGAATTTTCAGGTCAAAAGGTATCCTCTTTTGTTATGTTGAAATATATCATACATAAATAAGAAAATATGAAATGAGTAATGATAAAATGAAAACTGTCCATGTACATACCATCCAGATTAAGAACTGGAACGTTATTAGAAGCTACTTGTGTATCCCTCTTTAATATCCTCTTTTCCACTTCCCTTTAACACTATCTTGATTTTATAGTTTATCATTTTTTTGTGTGTGTGTGTTCCTTATACCTTTACCTTGGGTATATATATTCCTAAAATACGTATTTATTTTTGTGAAACAGATAAGCATAAATTTGATAGATTAAGGAAAGCAGGAGTACAGTTGTTAATTAGGTTAAAGGATCAGAGAAGGAAACAAGCTAAAGACAGTGTATTTTGATCTTCTCTAAAGGTTTTTATAAAACGTCATCTGAAGGTATCAGTAGGAAAGTTCTCAAGTTTAAGTCTTGGCACAGTCAAAACATATCTCTCTGGGCTATAATTTTGGCAAGATGCTGGAATATCAAACAGAAATATAGTCCTAGAGTTTCTAATCTTTTCATGACGTACTTTAGCTCTCAGGGGTAGAATAAGGAAGAATTTCTTCTGTGAGATATGAATGTTTTCTCTTGATTCAGGTAGTAGGACATAGAGATGGGGGTAGAAACTTCACTAGCATATGGTGAAGGTAGTTGAGGTACAACTGTGAATCCAGGTAAGGTCCACTTGCCATTCCTTCCTCAGAGAAGATACTATGAAGGTAGCAGGCATTTTGGTCATAGTGGCCCCTCAATTCATTGTTCTCCAAGTCTGGCACACAGCAGTAGGATATCCTTTACCATCCTCCTGGTAATTCTCTTTTTCTCTTTCCTGTGTTGGATATCCTGTTTCTGGTATCCCATGCCTTCTTGTTTCACTTTTTGTTGTTGTTTGCTGAAATATAGTGCAGTTGTTCAGTAGCTTCTTGAGAGATTGATGGGGTAAAGTTTTGATTCTTTGAATAATCAAAAATTTGTTTCTCATGTTTCTGTACTTAAATGGTAATTTGGCTGGGTATAGAAGTCTAGGTTGGAAATAATTTTGTTTCAGAATTTTATTTTTTTTAAAAGATTTATTTATTTGAGGGGGGGAGGGGCAGAGGGAGAGAATCTTTCAAGCAGACTCCCTGCTGAGCGTGGAGCCCAGCACAGGGCTTGATCTCATGACCCATGAGACCCATGACCTGAGCCGAAACCAAGAGTTGGACGCTCATCTGACTGAGCCACCTAGGTGCCCTGTTTCAGAATTTTAGAGGTATTGCTGCACTGCATTTCTTGCTTCTGTTTTTGCTGTTCAGTATTCTGAAGCCATTTGCTTTCTGACATTTTTTACATATTCTGCTTTTTTCTTTTGTAGAACTTAATGGGTCTTCTTGTTCATAATATGCTGAAATTTTGTAATACCTGCTCTGAGTATTTGGTTTGTTTTCAACAATTGTGATGGGTACTTTGCTATATAGGTTGGCAGCTCTTAGTTTGGCAACTTGTATCTTTAAGTTTGAGGGCATTTTCTTGAATTAGTTTATTGATTTCCTGTCTGCTATTTAATAATTTCTGTCTAGAAATTCTTGATTATCTACATGTTTTATCTCTTGGACTATTCCAAATTTACTTATCTTTCTCATGTTTCATTTCTTCGGCTTTAAACTTCCCGAGAGATGTTTTCAACTTTATTTTGCATTCCTTCTTTTGAGTTTTCGCTGTCATGCTTTTAGTATCTAACATCTCTTTGTTACTCCCTGAGTACTCCTGTTTTCATAGTTGAAATATCTTTTTTTATTCTTTTTATTTTTTTAATTAACATATAATGTATTATTTGTTTCAGGGGTACAGGTCTGTGATTCATCAGTCTTACACAATTCACAGCGCTGATCATAGCACATATCTCCCTCCCCAATGTCCATCACCCAGCCACCCCATCCCTCCCACCCCCCTCCACTCCAGCAACCCTCAGTTTGTTTCCTGAGATTAAGAGTCTCTTATGGTTTATCTCCCCTTCTGGTTTCATCTTGTTTAATTTTTCCCCCCCTTCCCCTATGATCCTCTGTCTTGTTTCTCAAATTCCTCATATCAGTGAGATCATAAGATCATTGTCTTTCTCTGATTGACTCATTTTGCTTAGCATAATACCCTCTAGTTCCATCCACGTCATTGCAAACAGCAAGATTTCAATTTTTGATGGCTGCATAATATTCCATTGTGGGGTGTGTGTGTGTGTGTGTGTGTGTGTGTGTGTGTGTGTGTGTACGTACGGACATCTTCTTTATCCATTCATCTGTTGGTGGTCATCTAGGCTCTTTCCATCGTTTGGTTATTGTGGACATTGCTGCTATAAACATTGGGGTGCACGTGGCCCTTTGGATCACTGTATTTGTATCTTCGGGGTAAATACCCAGTAGTGCAATTGCTGGGTTGTAGGGTAGCTCTGTTTGGTTGAAATATCTTCTTGAGACCGTCAGTATTTTTTTAAATTGTTGAAGCTTTTAAAATTCAGACTCATGGTTCCTGCATTTTAAGTAGAATGTTTAGCAAATTATCTGATTATTTTTTATTAGTTTAATCTCTTCTTTTACCAAATATTTTCCATTTTGGCATTCTTCATTGCCATGTGTAGATCAAAATTTCCATTTGGTTTCTCTCTCTCTCTTTTTTTTTTTCTAATGAACTTCCTCTAAAAATGTTTGTACTTCACGTCTTTTGGTGATATATTTTCTCAAGCTTTTGTTTGAGAAAAAAGTTCATTTTACCTTCTATTTTGAAGAATATTTTCATGGGACATAGAATTGTATGTCAAGGATTGTTTTCTTTTCAGGACTTAGTAAATAGTTAAATCCCTTGTCATTTGGTTTGCAAAGTTTCTGATTGAAAGTGTGTTGTTTTTTTTCTTTCATCCTTTGTATATACAGTGTGTCTTTTTTTTTTTTTTTTAAAGATTTTATTTATTTATTTTAGCAAGGGAGAGAGGGCGCACATGTGAGGGGAGGAGGGAGAAGAAGAGGGAAAGAATCCCAAGCAGACTCAGCGCCGAGCTTGGAGCCATATCAGGGCTTCGCCCCAGGACCCTGAGATCACAACCTGATCCAAAATCAAGAGCCTGACACTCAACCAATTGAGCCACCCAGGCGACCCCGCCCCCTTTTTTAGGTGGTTGTGGGGGAGAGATTCCTTAAGTAGGCTCCATGCCCAACGTGGAGCCAGATGGCAGGCTCAGTCTCACAACGCTGAGATAATGACTTGAGCTGAAATCAAGAGTTGGACACTTAACCGCACTCAGGCGTGCCCACAGTGTGTCTTTTTTTAAAGAAATTTTTTGTTGTTTTCGGTTTTAAATTTTTTTAAAGTAAGCTCTACCCCCAGTGTGGGGCTTGAACTCATGACTCTGAGATTAAGAGTTGCATGCTCTACCAACTGGACCAGCCAGGTGCCCCAAGATTTTTTTTTTTTTGACATTGGTTTTCAGCAGTTTGATTTTAATGTGCCTTGTTGGGTTTTTGTGTTTATGCACTTTGGGTAAGTTCAGCTTCTTGGGTCTTTGTGTTTATATTTATCGCATTTGAAAAAGGTTTAGCAATTACATTTTTTTCAAATATTTTTTCTTTTTCCTTTCCCCTTGACCTAATTTCTAGGCCTCTTGATAAATGTATCCTACGCTCTTTTTTTAATCTCACAGCACTGAGCTGCTCTTATTTTCCTTTTCTCCTTTCTTCTCTTTTTCCCTTTGTCTCCCTCCTTCTCCCTCTCTCTTTCTCCCCTTCCACCTCTCCCCACTCTTTGTCAGGTATTGATTTTCCTCCTGTGTTCAACCAGTATAAATATAGATTGTAAGCTGTCTCTGGGATTGAGATTTAGCTTTTTTGGGGTCTTGCTGGTTGCCACAAGTTCACTTGCTTTTCAGCTTGCATACTTGGTTGGTATTATCTCTGCTTTTTTTCCCTGTCCAAAATTAGTAAAATTTTGAAAATTTACTATTGGAGTTTCAGAGGGTAAAAGTAGATGTGTTGTTTAATATACCATTGTAACCTTAAGAGTTTTTCCAGATTTCTTGTTACTTTTTCCTGTTTTGAAACATTTAGTACATTAAGATTTGAAATATTTAAAAAGAGTAACTCTTTCCATAACTCTTAAGGAATAAGCAATTTGGTTTTGTTTTTTGTTTTTTCCTTTTGGTGAGCAAGAAAGCAAGGTTTATTGAGCGATAGCAAAGTGATAGTACAAATCTCCCAGAGGGGAGGGGACCTGAGAGGGTTGCCCAGAAAAAGCAATTTTTATGATAAAAAAGATGCTTTCAAAAGTGGTAAAAGATAGAAAGCTGTTCAGTTAATTGTAAAAGCCAACTCAACCATTATAATCAAAAGTTAATGTGTAATACAGCATATAGGCCTTTCTAACATTAAGTAGAATCCAAAAGCCTAAATAAAGTACTAGCCATCTTAGTTCTCTTTTGGAACAAAGTTATGCATGGTGAGAGTATCTGATGCACTTGGAACCAAGTCACCTGTAAATTATCTTAGCACTTCATCACAACTAAGGATGTTTTATCTTGATACTTTAAAAAAGATCAGCAGTCATAGATTGTCTCTGTACAAATATATATTCTTAATATATTCTACCTAAAATCTTAATGGAACTTTAATTTTAAATTTGATGAAATTACTCTGAATCATAAACTGTGTGATTAAACTAAGCAATATCAGAAGTGCTGAGAGGAAAACCCAAAAGAGTAATAGAGAAATGAATTTCAATACTAGCTTTAAAATATTTAAAAATTACAGGGCACCTGGGTGGCTCAGTGGGTTAAGCATCTGCCTTTAGCTCAGGTCGTGATCCCAGGGTCCTGGGATGGAGCCCCACGTCAGGCTCCCAGCTCAGTGGGGAGTTTGCTTCTTCCTCTCCCCCCTGCTTGTGCTCTCTCTCTCTCAAATAAATAAATAAAATATTTAAAAATTACAATAACATAGTTTTGATGAAGAATTGTATCATTATGGAAAAGCAGGAGTCCTGTATCACTCATTCCTAAGGAGCTAGGTAGTGTCTGTCCAATGGAATTTTTCTACATGAAGTTAATAAAATTTAACAATATTTAAGTTTAAATCATTCATTAGATATTTCATCACTTTGCTTAATTTCCTACTCTTACCAAGCATTTTCTTTTTTTAAAAATTCACGGATTAAAAAATAAATTTGAATGCCTGCTATGTTCTAGTGCTAGAACCACATCTCTGAATGTAGTAAAATGTCTGCCTTTATGGAACTGGGTTTTTGTTTTGTTTTGTTTTGTTTTGAGACAAGACCAATAATATAATTTCAGATTGCTAGTAAGTGCTTTAAAAGAAAGATAAAGCAGAATAATTTAGTGAAATGAGGCTCTTTAGAGTGAGTGGTTAAGAGGAGGGCTCACATAATGTAACCATGTATTTGTGTCAGCACATAAGTTAGTTTTTATAAAAATGTTCACTTAACTTTTTTGCTGTTTTTAAGGAGGCCTTATGGGACCTGTCAGGATGATTTCATCTGGACATGAGTTAACAACAGATTATGATGAAAAAGCACTTCATGAGCTTGGTTTTAAGGATATGCAGGTACACACAAATGTGGTTTGAGTTTTAATGGTCTGTTGACTGTTAAAGAGTCAACAGTTGAATAGTTGAAGGTATCCTTCAAAAACAGTTGTTACTGCTTTTAAGTGTATGTGAATTTGTGTGTGTGTGAAGTTATTTTATACTTAAGAGATTTAGTAAACCAAAACTTGATATGTCTAATTATGTGTTGTTGTTTTCCCCTTTTGCTGTTGTTTTTATAGATGGTATTTGTATCTTTGGGTGCACCAAGAAGAGAACGGAAAGGGGAAGGTGTTCAGCTGCCAGCATCTTGCCTACCACCTCCTCAGAAGGACAACATTCCGATGCTTTTGCTTTTACAAGAACCTCATTTAACTACTCTTTTTGATTTATTAGAGATGCTTGCGTCATTTAAACCACCCTCAGGAAAAGTGGCAGTGGAAGATAGTGAGGTGACTATATCATTTCATTTTTATAGTGTATTGTTTGTTTTTCTGTTGAGCAAAAAATAATTTTCTCAGTAATCTCTTTTTTAAGATTTTATTTGAGAGAGTGTGTGTGCACGAGCAGGGGGAGGGGCAGAGGGAGAGGGAGGGAATCTCAAGCAGACTCCACACTGAGCATGGAACCCATCACAGGGCTCAATCTCAATCTCACAACCCTGAGATCTTGACCCGAGCAGAATCAAGAGTTGGACGTTTGAGCCACCCGGGCTCCTCATTCTCAGTAATCTCTTAAGAACAGTAGAAAGCAGGAGCCCATTTAGTCATTCATTAGGTATTTAAGTGCCTAATATGATCTAGGTACACTCTTCTAAGTATTGTTTTACAAAGATCAAAATAGGCACAGTTTCCGCCTTCAGTCCAGTGGGGAAGTCAAATAATTGATATGATTTGCAGATAGCTGCAGGTAAACTTAACAGCTAAATTTTAGAGAGTAGCTGCTAAGACTAACATTATTAGGGAATAGTGATAGAAACTCATTTATATGTATTACTTGGTCAGGGAAGTTTCTCCGAGGGAAACCATATGTAATCTGAGCTAGAAGGATGAAAAGGAGCCAACTAAATGAGGAGAATTGAGTGATCGTCTCCACACAGTATTCTAATTCCTGAAGCCCTTCATATAAGGAATCAGGCAGGTCTAGGAGTTGTTAGAGAGCTAATAATGAGTAGAATGTGGAGGGTAGTGGGAGAGGAATAAGATTGGAAAGGTGAGTAGAACCAGACTGGCCATAGCAATTTGTTTCCGTTTTACTCATAGTAAGGTGAACAGCAGTAAAGTGTTTTAAGCAGAGGAGGAGCATACATTCTGATTCTGGTTTTCAAGGTAATAGATTTGTTCGGCAAGAATAGAAAAAGCAGTGAGGAACCTAATGCACTAATCCAAGGAAGACTTGACGGTGCCCTGGAATAGAATGATGGGAGTGGACAAATTAAGTCTAAAACTTAATTGGTTTGGATTAAGAGTGGGGATAGACTAATGTTCAGGAACAAGGAAAACAGGAGATGGTGTCCAGGTTTCTGGCTTGAGCAACTGGGTAGATTCCATTTGAGATGAAGAAGGGATGCTCATGGGACATTAAGTGGAGATGTCAAGGAAGCAGTTGGATAAATGAATTTTTGGAGCTCAGAGCAGGGACTTGGTCTGGAGAAATAAGATATGGGTAGACACTATAAAGATAGTATTTAAACTGAAGGGAGTGTATGAGATCACCTAAAGGATTCAGTATTAGTCTGCTGACTTTTTTTTTTTTAATGCCTTTAAATGGACTTATCCTAAGATGATGTTCATTGGTGTGTTTCATGCAGTGAATTATTTTGAGATTGAGTGGCAAACAAAATAGTGGTACTATTACTTTCTTTCCCAAGAATGTTAAATGACTTTTTTCCATATTTTCAAAATGCGTTTGGTCATGGATGCAGTAGTAGCTGCTGTTGAGTCCTCTGTTCCCCATAGCCTTTTCTCTTGTGGTGGCACATTTTTAAATTCTTTTTTTTTTTTTTTTTTTAAAGATTTTATTCATTTATTTGACAGAGACAAAGTGAGAGAAGGAACACAAGCAGGGGGAGTGGGAGAGGGGGAAGCAGGCTTCCCGCTGAGCAGGGAGCCCGATGCAGGGCTCGATTCCAGGACCCTGGGATCATGACCTGAGCCGAAGGCAGACGCTTAACTGACTGAGCCACCCGGGTGCCCCCATTTTTAAATTCTTAAAAAATCCGGGGCACCCGGGTGGCTCAGTCAGTTAAGCGTCTGTCTTCGGCTCAGGTCATGATCCTGGAGTCCTGGGATCGAGCCCCGCATCGGGGTCCCCAGTCAGCAGAGCGTCTGCTTCTCCTTCTGCCACTCCCCCTGCTTGTGCTTGCTCTGTCTCTTTCTCTCTCTCTCTCTGTCAGATAAATAAAACAAACAAAACTCTTAAAAAATCCTTCTTTTGTTCAAGCAGAATAATCAGTAACAGATGCCCTTGAACCTGACTTTTTTTTACCTTTTGTATTTTATGACACAAATACTTAATGACCTTTTACTTCATGTCAGCACCGTATTGGCAGTTTAAAAGAGAGAAAGATAATTAGAAGAATTCTTCAGTTTTCTGGGAGGTGGCTGTGCAGTGTGTTATGGGAACATAGGGTGGGAACAAAAATTTGGGGAAGGTTTTGCAAAAGGGGAGTCTTTTAAATTGGGTCCAGCTGCTGAGGAGAGCAAAGAGAAGCATTACAGATTCACAGAAAAGTGAATGCATGTTTGAAAAACTGGGAGCGTGAGTATGGTGTAATTCAAAAAAAGATCAAGAAGGAGATTGGAACCTATACTACAAAGGGCCATATGAGATTTTTCGTCTTTGTAAAATGGATTGCCATCATCATGGAAGGTTTTAAAGGAACAAAAAGAAAGCTGTTATGGGCTATTAGAAACAAAGTTGAGGTGTTAGTGTGGTGGATGTATTAGAGAAAGACTGGAGGTAGGAGGCCCAATTAATAGTCCATTGTAATAGTCCACCTGAGGCCTGAACTGGAGGGGAAGAATTCATTTTTTAGTAGATACTTGACTGAACTTTGTGGCAAGTATGGCATTATCAATGTGGGGGGTCTCTTTGTTGTCCAAGACTGGTTTGGTCTTGCAGAAGGTTACAACAATAAAAATAAAGGGTAGGGTTTTTTTAATCCTAACATAGCACATAGTCATTTACACATGGGATTTCTTTTTTCCTTTATATTGTTTTTTTTTGCACAGAATGCATCCTTTTTTTTCTTTTTTTAACTTGGTGTTTACAAAGGAATGAATTCTATTTTTTTTTTTATTATTTTTAAGATTTTTATTTATTTATTTGACAGAGAGAGACACAGCGAGAGAGTGAACACAAGCAGGGGGAGTGGGAGAGGGAGAAGCAGGCTTCCCTCAGAGTGGAGAGCCCGATGCGGGGCTCGATCCCAGAACCCTGGGATCATGACCTGAGCCGAAGGCAGACGCTTAACGACTGAGCCACCCAGGCGCCCCAGGAATGAATTCTATTTTACTGAACAACTTTCAGTGCCATTTCCCCAGCTAAACCGAAAATGTTACCTTGGGTTGCTTTTCTTCATCAGGTTTGAGAAAAGCAAAGGATACTTTGAAACTCTAAGATTTGCTTGCTTTCAATGTATACTAGCTTTATATCATTATACAAAAAGAACTAAACTTTTTATAGATACATAGAAGAATCTTTTGACATCCGGTGGACTGTATTATACTGAAAAAAAAATTACTGGCAGCAGCAGTAATAGAATTATACAAATTCATACTCTGGAAAATTCTAAAACTAAATTTTAGCTTTAGCTGTTTATTTACCTTTTGAGGTTATGCTTTAATTTTTTAAATAAAGGAAACTTGCCTACTTCTTATGTACTTTATGAAACATTCTTCAGGTTACTATTATCTCAGCATCTTACAGAATTCAAATTTAGGGGCACCTGGGTGGCTCAGTCATTAAGCATCTGTCTTCCTTCTGCTCAGGTCATGATTCCATAATCCTGGGATCAAGCCCCGCATTGGGCTCCCTGCTTGGCAAGCCTGCTTCTCCCTCTCCCTCTGTCCGCTGCTCCCCCTGCTGTGCTCTCTCTCTCTCTGTCAAATAAATAAAATCTTAAAAAAAAAAAAATTCAAATTTAATAGATAATGGGAAAAAGTAGGTTCTTTAAAATTGTTTGCTTTGCTCTTAATCTGCTTATCTGAGACTGGAAAATAAGGTATGGATTAGCAATATAAAAAAGAAACAGCTGTACTCTTTTCCCAAATGTAAGATCAAGGACTTAATTCACCATCACCAGGACTTTGTCCTAGTTAGAATAGTGACCTGCAAAGAGGAAACAATTGGTAATGTTCTTGAAATTTACTTGAATGGCTTTGTAAAACAGATGTTTTCACTTCTATTTGAAAAGTTTCCCGAATAAAGTGCCAAGATTTACAGGTCACTCTTTTTCCAAAAAGCGTTCAGTAACAACAAGTTGAAAAACTACTACTTTGACATGACGATCAATTTATTGAATAGATGTATTTGTTTATAAATAATAATAAATAAAATAATAAAATAAAAGGACAAAGGTATAAATTATTTACCATGAGACAAATGGTTTATTTCTCACTTTTAATGTAAGACTGAAAAATATCAAATTTGATAATCAAGGGTTTTATGCAAAAAAGTTGAACTTGGGTTTAGATTTTTTTTTTTTTTTTAGTGATCTGTCTTGATAAGCAGTTGTTCTTATTTGTGTAGAGTTTAAGATGTGAAGAACTTCATCTTCATGCAGAAAATCTCTCCAGGCGTGTATGGGAGCTACTGATGCTTCTTCCTACGTGTCCTAACATGTTGATGGCATTCCAGAATATCTCAGATGAACAGGTAAACCCACAAAGTCTTTTTACTCTCCTAGAGGATGGCACTATTTTACATTCCTCCAGTATATGAGATTGCTTGTTGACCTATATCCTCAGTAAAATTTTGCCCATTTAATGGGTAAAAACCACCAGTTCATTTTAACATTCATTTATTTGTTAGTGAGGTTGAATAATATAGGCCTAATACAAGGCCAAGGTTGTTTTCTAAAATTATCTTTAGAAAACATAATTTGTCTTTATATTAGTATTTCTTCATATTAATATATGTTCTGAATGCATTCCTGTAGGACCATGACCTCAGGTGTGTTGGATGTCTTTGTAAAGATGTGTTAAAATTAGATTAATTTTTAAAAAGCTATATAATATAGGGTTACTTTGTGGAGATACCAATAGAACACTTATAGGATGAATGGAAAAACAGTGTCCTAATGTTGTGCGCTAATGGTTTTTTATGATTTAGGTCTTGGCCATATGATTTCAGAAAGTCCTGTATCTCAAATAATTTAGATGTGAGGAAGGTAGGCCTGGCAAATGGTGGTTGATGACTCAGAGTAGCTCTAATAATACTGTCGTCAAAAATGTACATTGTGTGAATGTCATTTCATAAATTGAGATTAGATAAGAACAATATTTTATGATTTATGTATTTGTATATGACTTTTAAATGTGTAGGTGTGACTTTGTAAGTGTTAAATATAGACTTTACTACTTCTGTATCTTTAAAAGTTAATGCATTCAACTAGGCTACCCCAGTGTTTTTCATTGGGAAGATACTGAATTGCCTCGTCTGTTGTGAGGGTTAATAAGATAGAATTTTTTTTCCTATGCTGCTGTTTGTATATGAATTTTAACAAAATTTAATGAATAACTGGTGTGTTAAGCATACCATGAGTACCAGTTACACAGTTGGTCTTCATATGTTTGAAACTATTTCAACGTATATGTTATATTTGAGTTCTTACATAGCGTCACTTTCTTTAAAGTTTATTTTGGGAGGGGTCCCTTAGTAAGTTGGTTTGAGAAAACCTGTGTTTTTCTTTAATTTAAGAGTAATGATGGACTTAATTGGAAAGAACTTCTCAAAATTAAAAGTGCTCACAAGCTATTATATGCCCTGGAAATTATTGAAGCACTAGGAAAACCTAACAGGAGGATAAGGAGAGAGTCAACGGTAATTGAATTTCCATTCTTACCATGAAATATTTGTATTTTGTCTGGAGCTGAATTCCAGAATGTGTTATTTTTCAATTCTAAAATAATTTTTTTCTCCACCTTTTCTTTTTATTTTTTATTTTTGCCATTCCTACAGGGAAGTTACAGTGATCTTTATCCAGATTCAGATGATTCAAGTGAGGATCAAGTGGAAAATAGTAAAAATTCCTGGAGTTGCAAGGTTTGATCATACGTGTTATGCAGTGTATTGATAAAAATTATCTCTAATTTTCCAAAAGTAGGTATCATAATTATTAATTGGTTTTAAACGAATTTACTATTAAAATAAAGCATAGTTTAAAAATTATGTATTACTCCAAATCACAGTTGAAAGGTGAGATTATTTAATGCCTTGGTGCTCTTGTTTTTAGTACTTATTTTTTTTCTTTATTGGAATACTTTGTTAGGACATCCTAGTGTCTGCGATTAAATGGTCAATGGAATATAAAGATATCTTTATAGATACTTGCAAGAATCCTTTTTAAAAATTTCTTGAAAATAAGATGTATGTTATTACTTTGTATAGAAGTTATTTTGGTTATTTAAATCAGAGTAATTTCCTAGATTAAAGATACATAATATTTTACATACGCATATACATAAACACACACACATATCCAGTTATTGAATCAAAAAGCAGGTCTTGATGACATTTTGTAGCTGCATCTCTCTTACCAGTACTCTCACAATTGCTTACAGTTTGTTGCTGCTGGAGGGCTTCAACAGTTACTAGAAATTTTTAATTCTGGAATTCTGGAGCCTAAAGAGCAGGAATCCTGGACTGTGGTAAGTGAAAGTTCACTGTTGTAACCAGTTAATAGTTATTCTATTTTAAGCACTTCCGGTTTTCATTAGCAAGTGTAACTTTTGCTACATGCTACATTGTCATAAGGAAAATCATGGAGTGTAGCAAAATTAATGTTTAAAAAGTAGGGAGTCTGATAAACTAATTATTCATGAAGAGTTCTTCATGTCAATTCTGTTAAACTTTAAGTGCCAAAATTCGTGACTCTGAACTGTGGCTAATTCATAAACATTTTTCCTTTAGGTTGATAAATTACATATGAATAAATAATTATACAACCTGGTTTATATGTGTTTAATTTTGAAAAAATCCTTTTTCATTGTTTCGTTTTGTTTTGGCTGTTTCTTCCTTTATAGTAGTGCTACTCAAATACGTGTTTCCAGACCATTTGTGACTGGTCTGAAATGAAATAGGTGCAGAAATTGAAAGTAAGCCTTCAGAAATTTTTATAGCTATTGAACATTGCTGCAGAATTTTTACAGCATTTCACAAAATTATTGGTCCTCAACAAAATGGAACTTTTTTTCTTAAAAAGGCGCTTTTACTTTACCACTATTAACTTGAAGAAGCACTATTCTATAATATCAGGAAAATAAAATTGTAGAATATTAAAAAATTGATACTGCTATACCAAACTGCACAATCTGGTTTTGAGCTAAATGGAATGGATGCTCCATTTCGTGACCTCCAACAAAAAAGAATAGCATTATCAAACATTCAAATACTAATTTTTTTAGTACTTGTATTTTAGAATTATCTTGGAACATAGGAGTTGGGTATTCTTGATTTAATATCAAGTTAATAAAAGAAAATATATTTAGAAAACCTGTTACTATGTACTAAGATGTTGTTATTCGTACCACTGGTTTTAATGCTTATTTTTCCATTTTTGTTTTACATATTTTATTATGATATTTTCCTTTTTAGAATAGATACCTCTATTCGATTACTAATTATTGTAGTTCTGTGACTTACAGTGTCTGTTTGTTGTGTTTTATTGTTAGTCATGTCTTTATTGTCCCATTAATCTCTTAGAATTCTAATGTGCCTTAGTTCTTTAGCAAAGTGGGAGAATTTAACTAAAATTTTTAATGAGTAGTTATGTGTCATGTATGGGAATTTTGTTTATAAACTGCTCTAAGCTTAGTTTTGAATAATGTTTACAGGGAATCGAGCATAAGCTAGAGATTTTTTCTCTTGTTTCCTTTGAAATTGTGGATACTTTATGGATTATTACCAATGAGAAAATTTTAACTACCATATATGACACATTGTAGCCTGGCAGTGCCTGAGATTGCTTTGAAGTCAACTGATATCCCCTATTTATAATGCATCTCCTAACATATTATAGAATACTTACAAATTCAGAGTCATTCTTGTTAGACAATTTTTTTCTCTTTAAAATGAATTTAGTTGAGGTATACTTTCAAATTAAAATTTTTTGAGATAGAATTCATGTACAGTAAAATTCAACCTTTTAAAAAGCAGTGATTTTTAGTATATTTACAGAGTTGTATAACTATTACCACTAATGCCAGAACAGTTTTATCCCCTCAAAAAAGAAACGCCACACTTACTCGCAGTCACTCCTCATTTTCCCTGAAACATTTCAGCCCTGGGCTGCCACTAATCTAATCTACTTTCTATCTCTATGGACTTGGCCTATTATGGACATTTCATATAAATGGAGCCATATAATATGTATATGGTCCTTTGTGACTGGCTTCTTTCACTTAGCGTAATGTTAAGGTTCATTCTTGAAAGTAGTGTGTCATCTAAGGTCACAAATATTAATGACTATGTTTTCTTTTAAGAATTTTACAATTTTAGTTCTTAAACACTTAGGTCTTTGATCCATTTAATTTTTTTTGTGTGATAGTGAATTGAGATATGCTTCCCATGCAGTAGATAATGAACTCATTTTAAAAAGTATAGTTTAAGTTTTGAAAAATGTGTATACTTGTGTAATCTGCCAACACAAACAAGATATAGAACATTTCTATTACCTCAGAAGTTCCACCCTGCTGCCTTTTTTTTTTTTTTTTTTTTTAAAGAGAGGGAGAGAGAAGGGGAGGGTTAAGGGGAGGGGCAGAAGGAGGGAGGGAGGGCGCCTGGGTGGCTCAGTTGGTTAAGCGACTGCCTTCGGCTCAGGTCATGATCCCGGAGTCCCGGGATCGAGTCCCGCATCGGGCTCCCTGCTCAGCAGGGAGTCTGCTTCTCCCTCTCCCGCTCCCCCCTCTTGTGCTCTTTCTCTCTCTCACTCTCTCTCTCAAATAAATAAATAAAATCTTTAAAAAAAAAAAAGAAGGAGGGAGGGAGAGAGAATCCTGAGCACCAGACACTGGGCTTGATCTCACAACTCTGAAATCATGACTTGAGCGAAAATCAAGAGTCAGACGCTTAACCGACTGAGCCACCAAGGCGCCCCTCCACCCTGGGGTTTTTTTGGGGTTTTTTTGTTTGTTTGTTTGTTTTTTTAACTATCAATTTCCCCCATTCTCCCAAGCAACCAGCCCTAAGCAACCACTGATCTGCTTTTTGTTGTTATAGATTACATTTGCATTAATAAGATTCCATATAAATGGAATAAAACGGTATGTGTCCTTTGTGTCTGGTGTCTTTTACTCAACATGTATTTTGAGGCTAATAAATGCTGCATGTATTGGTTGGTTGGTAGTTTTTATTGCTGACTAGTATGTCCCTTTATAGGTATACTACTCCTTGCTTATCCATTCACTTATTGATGGACATTTGTGTTTCTGGTTTTGGGCTATTATGGATAAAGTTAACAAACATTCATATTCCAAGTCTTTTTGTGTACATGTTTTTTTTCTCTTGGGTAAATACCAAGAAAAGAATTTGCTGAGTAATACGGTATATGTAAAATTGACTTTGTAAGAAACTGCTGAAGTGTTTTCCCAAGCAGCTGTACCATGCAACGCATGAGAGTTCCAATTGCTTCATATCCTCAGCAACAGTTGGTGTGGTCAGTCTTTTTGAGTCTTTCTCCTGGGTATGTAGTATTATCTCATGGTGCTTTTGCTTTGCATAATCTCTGGTGACTAGTGAAGTTGAGTATCTTTACATCTGCTTTACATGACTATGCTGGTTGTTTGTTTTTTTTTTTTTTACTCATGGTAAAATACACTTAACATTTACTATCTTAACCATTTTTAAGTGTGCACTTCACTGGTATTATATACCTTCCCGTTGTAGTGGAATTGTCACTACCATCCATCCCCATTACTATTTTCTTTTCTTTTTTTTTAAGATTTATTTATTTGAGAGAGAGCGCGCACAGAGGGAGCGTGAGAGGGAGAGGGAAAAGCAGACTCTTCTCTAAGCAGAGAGCCCAGTGCGTGGGGCTCAATCCCAGGACCCTGAGACCATGACCTGAGCCAAAGGCAGATGCTTAACAGACTGAGCCACCCAGGCGCCCCTATTTTCATCTTGTAAATTAAAACTATACCTATTAAACAGTGACTCCCCATTCTCCTCTCCCCCCAACCTGAGACAAACCACCATTATACTTTGTCTCCATGATTTTGACTACTCTGAGTACCTTCTCTAAGTGGAATCATAGGGTATTTGTCTTTCTGTGACTAGCTTATTTCACTAGCAGAATGTCCTCTAGCATCATCCTTATTGTAGCATATTGCAGAATTTCCTTCCTTTTTAAGGCTGAATAATACTGTATGTAGTGTATACCACATTTTGCTTATCTATGCATTCATCAGTGGACATGGGTTGCTTCCATAGTCTCTCTATTCTGAGTAATGCTGCTATGAATATAGATGTATAAATATCTTTGAAACCCTTCTTTCAGTTCTTTTGGGTATATACCCAGGAGTGGGATTGCTGGCTCATATGGTAGTTATGTTTTCAGTTTTTTGAGGAACCACATACAGTTTTCCATAGCAGCTATATCATCTTACATTCCTACCAGTAGTGCACAGGGGTTCCAATTTTCTATATATTTGCGAACACTTTTATTTTCTGTTTTTTTGGTATTAGCCATCCTAATGGGTGTGATGTGGTATCTCATTGTGGTTTTAATTTGCATTTTCTTAATATAACAGTGAAGTTGAGGACCTTTTCTTGTGCTCATTGGCCATTTATATATCATCTTTAGAGAAATGTCTTTTCAACTCCTTTGCTCATTTTTGAATCAGGTTGAGGGTTTTTTGAGTTTTAGAAGTACTCTGTATATTGTGAATATTAATCCTTTCTCAGATATATAGTTTGCCAATATCTTCTCCCTTCTGTAGGTTGCCATTTTACTCTGTGGATAGTCTTATGCATGAAATTTTTTAATTTCCATGAAGTCTAATGTGTCTCTCTTTTATTACCTGTACCTTTGGTGTCCTATCTAAGAAATCATATGTCCAAATCCATTGTCATGAAGCTTCTATCCTGTTTTCTCCTAAGAATTTATTTTAGGTCTTATATTTAGGGCCTTGATTCATTTTGAGTTCATCCTTTTTATTTCTGTAGAATTGGGAGAAAAATTCCTACCTTTATTTCTGATTTTAGTAATTTCACTTCACTTTTTAGTTCTTTTAGCTAAAGCGTTGTCAGTTTTGTTCTTTTCAAAAAATAAACTTTGATTTACACTGATTTTCTTTCTTGTTTTTCTATTTTCTGTTTTCTTTAACTCTGTTCTTTACTATTTCCTTCTTTTAGCTAGCTTTGGGTTTAGTTTATTCTTTTTCTACTTCCTAAGTTGGAAAGTTAGATTGTTGATTTGAGATCTTTTTATTTTTAATGTGTTTATAGCTATGAATTTCCTCCGTTCTTCTTTTCACTGCATCTCATAAGTTTCACATTGACCACAGTTTTTTTTTTTCCTTTCATGAAATGTCTGTTCATATCTTGCCCCCCCCCCCCCCAATATCCCTTTCCTTTCCTTTCTGATCTTAGTAAAGAGGTCTTTTTTTTTTTTCTTAGTTTGGACAAATTTTTCTGCTAGGTGTGTGTGGGAATATTTGCACTTAATCTGTGGCTGACTTTTTCATTATTTTGACAGTGTCTTTTAAGCAGAGAAGTTTTTAATTTTTATTTTTTAAGATTTTATTTATTTGACAGAACAGCAAGAGAGAGAATACAAGTAGGGGGAGTGGGAGAGGGCGAAGCAGTCTTCCGCGGAGCATGGAGCCCGATGTGGGGCTCGATCCCAGAACCCTGGGATCATGACCTGAGCCGAAGGCAGATGCTTAACGACTGAGCCACCCAGGCACCCCAGAAGTTTTTAATTTTAACAGAATTTGTATCCTAACTTTGTTTGAAGTCCACAAGGATTTTCTCCTGTTTTTTCTTGTATAAGTTTTATAGTTATAATTTACATTTAGTTCTGTGATGCATTTTGAGTTAATTTTTGTATATGTAGAGTGAGATTGAGGGTTGTTTCATTTATTTTTTTAATATGGCTATTCACTTTTCTAACACCATTTGTTGAAAGGAATGTTCTTAGGATGTAGTATTGCTGAATTCCCTTCCCTGGCATATTGGTATAGCTATACAACTTGGCAGTGGGATTAGAAAGGTAGGAAAATAACTGTTGAAGAGAATAGTATGAAATTCTTACCTTGCACATAAATGATATTAATTTACTTAAAGGAAGTGTTTTTATTTTTTATTTATTTATTTTTAAATATTTTATTTATTTATTTGACAGAGACACAACGAGAGAGGGAACACAAGCAGGGGGGGTGGGAAAGGGAGAAGCAGGCTTCCCGCTGAGCAGGGAGCCTGATGTGGGGCTTGATCCCAGGACCCTGGGATCATGACCTGAGCCGAAAGCAGGCGCTTAACGACTGAGCCACCCAGGCGCCCCAAAGGAAGTGTTTTTAAAATTTTAAATAAAGTAGAGCTTTAAATCAGTTAGAAATGAAATTTTCATACTAAATAATATTTTACCAAATAAGTATTTCTTTTCAATGTACTTACGTAAAATGCAAAATTTTCAGTTATTTTTTTAGAACTCTTTGGCTCCAAAATATTGGATTATATGCCACTTGTATTGAGAAACAACTTAAAATACTTTTTCTCTTAATTCATTTTGGGGGTAGGTAAATTATATCTTTGTTTACATTTTATTTATTAATTTATTTAAAAGATTTTATTTATTTATTTGACAGAGGGAGCGAGAGAGCACAAGCAGGAACAGTAGAGGGAGAGGGAGAAGCAGGCTCCCCGCCAAGCAGGGAGCCCGATGCGGGGCTTGATCCCAGGGCTCTGGGATCATGACCTGAGCTGAAGGCAGACGCTTAACCATCTGAGCTTCCCAGGCGCCCCACATTTTAGTAATTTTTTAAAAATATGGTACATTCTGAGCAGTATATTTTTTTAAAATCCTGTATCTGACATTTATATGATGTTATTTCTTTACCTTACTTAGTACCTAGATTTTTTTTTTTGTCATTTTTACAAGAGTGGATTGTTACTCCACATAGTATATGAGTAGTAAAATTTCTTTAGCATGTGGATAAAGTACTAGCTATAATTATTTCAAGTTGTATAGTGGCCATGTTAAATTAACCAAAATAGGGAAATGACGTTTTCTTCTTATCCACAGTGGCAGCTAGACTGTCTTGCTTGCTTGCTGAAGTTAATATGCCAGTTTGCAGTAGATCCATCCGATTTGGATTTAGCTTATCATGATGTCTTTGCCTGGTCTGGTATAGCAGAAAGCCATAGGAAAAGAACTTGGCCTGGTAAATCAAGAAAGGCTGCTGGTGATCATGCCAAGGGTCTTCATATACCAAGATTAACAGAGGTAAAGTACAGAAGTTACCATTAAATTATAGTAATGAATTCTGTTTGTGTTTTACAAAGTTAAAAATACATTAATGCATTAGAAATGCGATCCTAGATTACAGTATGACCTAACAACTGAAGTGATATCTTCATTTTTAATCCAGTAATAGTAATTATGAAATAGTAATATTTTTCAGTTCATTATCCAAATTGCAGGAGTGAATTGTATGCCATTCTAATGTTCTCCAGCTGTAGGATTTAGTTAATCATTTACACCCAGTAATTTATATACTAAATTTGTGAGGGTCCATTCAGGGAAACAAACCACACCAGGTATTTCAACAAAGGAGATTAAAATAAAGAATTGGTTTCACATGTCTGGATTGGGAGCTAAACATACAAAAAGAAAATGTTGAGGTAATCCAGACAGGTAACCATTCACCACCCCTTGTGTTTGTGGAACAAGTGGAAAAAGGTTGGGGTATCAGAAATGAGGTTATAAGGAAGGATCTTGTTAACCTGGGGTTTAGGCCTCTGAGGAAGGGGCTCTGCTACTATTTCTGAAATAATAATGCCTTCCCCTGGGTTAAATACTTAAAGTACAATGCTGACAGAAAAAGCAAGGAAGTAATCTCTGTTCCAGTTGACAGAACCTCATAGGAAACCAGCTGGCAAGGGAGGAATTTAGTTTGTGATGTACCAGCCCTAGAATCACAAAGCAAGTCTATAGAATGGTAGATTTAGAACTAAACAAAAATGGTACAATAACAAGCACATCTAGCAGTATAATTAGAATTCTGTCAGTGGTTCATGTGATCAAATATTTGCCCTTCAAATGGCTCCATCACTGAACTGGGAAGTGGGGAGAGATAAAGACCAGTTTTTAGTGAGATCTCTTACTCATTTGTAACCTTTTGAGAATAGCACCTTACCTCATAGCTGTTCAAGAAACAGCAGAGTAATGAGTTGTTTCTGATAGAGAAGTATTGTAGTGAAACATATGTTGGAAACTACTGGTGAAAATTGAAACCCGAAGGCTATTTCCCTTTCAGAATTTTGGGAGATTAAGTGGGACAAGTGACCTCTCCTAGGATTCTAAATCATTTATAGCTAATACAATTAAAATAGAACTGTGGGGACTACAGTGTAATCTACATGTGTTCTACAGTGTTGCATATTGTCAACTCCTTACTTTAACCTTGCATTGCTGTAATGTTTCCGTTATTTATTTTCCAGAATGGTCTTCCCAGGTTATAATTTAAAAACTCAAATTGATTGTGTTCCTTTCTGTTAACTCATTAAATAACTTCAAAGATTTTGACCTTAATTAGTTATTTCCTCTTGAGATTTTAATAATACAAATATAACACAGACATAAAATACATGCACACATAAGTTTTTAAAAATTTTTTTAAATGTATGCAAGTATATATTATTGACAATAATTCAGAATATACAGGTGAACCTTCCCTCCCAGTCATAGGTGATTACCATTGATAGTTTTGTGTATTATCGTATTAGATTTTTTTCATTGCATATGCTGGTGTTATGTTTTTATAGTTTAGAAAAGGTGTTTACTATATATATTTTCCCATTAGTTGATCATAATCAGAATTTAGCATGTTAAGCTTTTTGGGAACAAAAATTTTTGTTATATGAATTCTAGAGACACAGTTACCCGGTTTTGATATTCTGTAGATAGTGAGGAAGAACACTAATTTTTTTTTTTTCATAATTTACTGTCATGCATTATTTCATTTGTTCCCCTTAAAGCCCTTTTAAAAGGTTCAAATTCCAAATCAGACTTTAAAATTTCCATCCTAAACAGCTTTCCTTGAAGCTGTCCTGATTTCACCAGGGATAGATAGTTGCTGCTCTCTTCTTCTGCTCATGTGGCACATTCTCTTACTTGTGTTACGGTTCTTACTATGTTATCTGCTATACTGGACTCACATCTCCAGGATGGGAATAGTGCTTATAACACTTACAACAAAAGGGTTCCGATCTACAGAAGGGAGTCTCTAATTCTTTATTTATTTAAATTAGCAAATTATTTCTATTACATAGAACTATATAGAACATAAAGAACTCCCACTATATAGAAGAACTAGAACCTAAAAATTAAATACGTATTAATATCATGCACCTTGAAATGTTGCAAACCTCAGGATTTTTAATCTAGAATCTGTGCCCTGTATTCATTTTTTTCTCTATTTCAGGATGGTTGAGATATCTGCCACTGGTTGGCTTTTTTCCCCTTAGGTCAGAAGCAAAAAATGTTTAATTCTTGATCACCCCAATGAACCATTTACATGTGTAATATATTTTTTCACCCATAAAGAATTTATGGATCAGATATGAAGAATAGTTTTGCTTCTATATTTGTAAATTTTCTTTTATTTTTTTAAGTTGCTATTCTTAAGTTTGGTTATAAAATTCTGGTTTTCTAATATTGATATTTTTACAGTATATGATATTCCTTATCTTGTTATAGATAAAAAAGTAATTTGGAATCTTGGGTTAAAAGTGCTTTTTTGTGTTTGAGTATATTTAAATATTTTTTTTTAATGTTTTTGTTTTAAAGGTATTTCTTGTTCTTGTCCAAGGAACCAGTTTGATTCAGCGACTTATGTCTGTTGCTTATACATATGATAATCTGGCTCCTAGGTATGAAGTTTTTATGCAATTTTTGTATGTATTTGTACCAAGAATATAGTACTTGAAAACGTCACTTTGAAAAAATTTAAAGGTTAGGAGAAAAATTGTTAGGGTATCTTTAACTCTCATACTGTTCATCTTCATTTGTGTATTATCAACATTTTGCCAGTTTACTGCATAATCATGAGTGTGCATTTTCTGTGTGTTTGTATGCACATACTTATTTACATCTTCCTGGATTTTGTGAGAGTAAGTTTCAGATATCATGACCATTTACCAATAATACTTCGATACCAGGACATTTTCTTAATAATTTGGGTAAAATATAGAAAGTTTAACATCGCTCTGATAGTGTTATTTAATGTATAGTCCACACTCAAATTCTCCCATTAATATTCTTTATAATACTTTTTTTTCCCTGATCCAGGATCGTGTACTGCATGTAGTTGTTATTTCTTCCACTTCCTTTTATCAGGGATACTTCGTTAGCCTTTCTCTCATGATATTGACATTTCTGAGTACTTCAGGCCAGTTCTTCTATAAAGCATCTTTCAGTTTAGGTTTTCTGATTCTAGCAATTTTAATTGTTCTTCATGATTAAATACAGATGATGTATTTTTAGCAGGAGTACTCCATGAGTAATGTGTCTTTCCCAATACATCCTGCTGATGTCAATTGGTCCCATTATTAGTGATACTAATTTTTATTAGTTTATGTGGTTTCCTGCAGGTTTCTCTCCAATAATGTTGCTGATTTTTCCTAATTAAAAGTGACCCGTCGGAAGCTGCTCCTCATAAAACTTTCGTTCATTGATTTTTAGCATTCAGTGATGATTCTTGTCTGCATTAAACATTAGGTTGTATTTGTAAAGTAGTGATTTTCTGGCTCTTAACCATTCCTTTTATGTTTATTGGTTGACATTCTATTATGAGGAAGAGCTTTCTCTTCCTCCCTTTTAGTTAGTATCGGTTTGAATTCATGTGGATTTTTTTTTTCCACTCAATTTGTTGTAGTTCATGACTATTAATTACTATTCACTTTACTCAAATTATACCTGAGTTGGCCTCCTCAAGCTTGTTCATGTGTCCTTTTGACAAATCCTTATTATTTGTGGTGGAAGGGAAGAGAGGAGTCCTTTTTTATTTTTCCTGTCACGCTAAGATCTTCAAGGCATGTAGTTTCCCTGCCTTAGTCCTGGAATCAGCCATTTCTTTAAGAAGCCCTAGTTCATGTGGTGGGAAACTTCCAAAAATATGGGCTCTTGGTGGGCTCATTGCTACTGAGGTTTCCTTGCTTCTAGGCCCTTGGTGGACAGAGCTGGAAATACGTGTATGTGAATATAGTTTGAGCATGTAATAATCCCATTTATTTGGGCTACAGTAGAGATTAAAAAAAAAATGTATGAAATTTTGATACTGAAATTCAAGTGTGATAATTGCTGACTGATACATAGGAACCTGATTGTATGCCTTAAATAATCACATAAGTTATGTTAAAGTGTGTAAAATTAATTGTGTGTGTAGGTGTTCTGTTGGGCTGAAATTTGCCATTATACTTAAGTGATTTATAAAGCTAGTGTAAACACGTTTGAAAGTGCTTGACCTTATTTGTGGCTAATAGCTAATAGTTGTTTTTAGATGCTTTTAAAAGTCACCTTCATAGGCAGTGGTTGCATATAAATAGCATGATTATTTTATTTTATTTTATTTTTTTTTTAAGATTTTATTTATTTATTTGAGACCGAGAGAATGAGAGACAGAGAGCATGAGAGGGAGGAGGGTCAGAGGGAGAAGCAGACTCCCTGCCGAGCAGGGAGCCCAATGCGGGACTTGATCCCGGGACTCCAGGATCATGACCTGAGCCGAAGGCAGTCGCTTAACCAACTGAGCCATCCAGGCGCCCTAGCATGATTATTTTAAGATTATTTTATAATTTACCTTTCTTTTGTCTCTGTCTCAGTTGAATTCACATTAATTATTTGATCAATATCTGCTTTACCCCACTAGACTCTTAAGTTCTATATGAACAATATCTCATTTTTCTCACCATGGTATTTTTAGTGCCAGGCACCTTATCTCATTGTTTGTAAAACTTATGAATGGACAGCGTGTGGAAACGAAGAAAGTACTGTAAACATGCCTTTGATTTGTATGATAAAATACATTTTATACCCCAACCACCAATTAACTCTCCAGTTAAATAATTCTTAACTTTTCCTCTGTGTCCTCACTAACCCACACTCTACTATCCCACATGCCATGATATATTTGAGTTAACAAGGCCATTCAGTAACTGTTTTAGTTTGCTTTTATTTCTTGTGAATCAAGATATGTTCACTTGACTTTGTTAACCTCACACAAGGAAAAAAAATGTGCAGGTTTGATACCAGCTACTGCTGTTCAAGTTGGTTCACTCTGTGGCAATTCTTGTTTTTCATTCTACCAGTTCCATTTTTCAAAAACTTTTTACCATCTTTGTAATGTGAGCCCCCTCCTCCTGCCCCCCATTCCTGTTTTTATCTCTGTGCCTGTTCATGCACCGTTATCTTTTCCTTAGGCCCCACCTTGATTCATATGGTGCCAGGTTTATATCAGTTAAGGCAGCTAGAGCATATTTTTTGCCTATGTTATCAAAAAATCTTTTTTTTTTTTTATAAAGATTATTTGAGAGAGCGTGTGTGCACGAGCAAGAGCTGAGGGGAGGGGCAGAGGGAGAAGCAGACTCCCAGCTGATCAGGGAGCCTGAGGCAGGGCTTGATCCTGGGACTCTAGGATCATGACCCGAGTCGAAGGCAGATGCTTAACCAACTGAGCCCCCAGGTGCCCCATCAAAAATCTTCTAATGCTACATATTTAAAAGGTAGATGGGTAGGTTGTTGGTAAAGTTGGTTATACCAATATGATAATAACTAAACATGAAATATGGACACGTATGTGATTTTACAAGTTTTAACTTCTTAGTACTAAATTTTTACTTTTATTTTTTTAAAGATTTATTAGAGAGAGAGAGAGAAAGCGCGCAAATGAGCGTAGGGAGTGGGGAAGGAGAGGGAAAGAGAATCTTAAGCAGACTACGTGCTGAGGACAGAGCCCGGATGCAAGGCTCAATCTCACTACCCTGAGATCACGACCTGAGCTGAAACCAAGAGTGGATGCTTAACTGATTGCACCACCCAGGTGCCCCAGTACTTTTTACTTTAAATCAATAATGTGGATGAATCTTGCTTTTTGAGATTTTGAAAGGTGTTTTGTTAATTGTAACAAAGTGAGGATGCTAGAGATCAGTGCTTTTCTTTTTTTAAACAATTTATTTGTAAGACAGATAATCCCCATTTATTGGTTTTGTTAAAATGAAAGTTTTTAATATTTTTCTTTAAATTGAAGTAATACATTTTCCACTGAAGTAACTAAATGTGTGGAGAAAAACGGATGTAAAATAATACAGAATTAAATTAGTTTTCTCTACTTTTTAGTAATTTGCTTTTAACCATTTCTGATAGAAATTGGCATTAACAGTACTAAAGGAAGGGCATTGTGTGTCAGTGTATGATTTTATTTTTAAAATTAGAAGTCTGAAGTTTAGAATCTAAACCATTACAACCTTTCTGTTTGTAATACACATCTCTAGTAATTAAATCTTTTTTTAATAAGATTTTATTTATTGATGTGAGAGAAAGTGGGAGAGAGAGAGTGTGAGCATGAGCAAACAGAGGGAGGAGAGGCAGAGGGACAAGCAGACTCCACACTGAGCACAGAGCCCGATGTGGGGGGCTCAGTCGCATGACCCTAAGATCAGGACCTGAGCTGAAACCAAGTTGGATGCTTAACTGACTGAGCCATCAGCTCACCCATCATGAGCACTTCTTGGTTCACTTATTTCAATCAATACTGTATTCACTCAGATATTGTTAAATCTGAGCAGTCAAATGGATTGGTTTGTAATATTTTACCAGTGTTTCTTTAAAAGATAAAGACCATAGGAAACATATTTTTCTTAAAATTTATTCTCTGTTTGTGGAGGGTACATTGTGTAAACTTTAAAGGATAAGTGGTAATAAATTGAGTCATTAATATTTTATTGCTAAAATTAATTAGTGGTGGTGGATTTTTTTTTTTTTTACTTTACAGAGTTTTGAAAGCTCAGTCCGATCACAGGTCTAGGCATGAAGGTAAGTAAGGGTTCCACAAAGTTAATTTTTAATAGAGATTTGCATAATTAGATAGTATTTAATAATGAACATTGTGTTTTCTTTACAGCACAAGTCTTATAGTCATACTTTTTTCTAATTTCTCTTTAGTTTCACATTATTCAATGTGGCTCTTGGTGAGTTGGGCACATTGCTGTTCTTTAGTGAAATCTAGCCTTGCTGATAGTGACCATTTACAAGATTGGTTAAAGAAATTGACTCTCCTTATTCCTGAGGTAAGATAAAGATTGCAAATCAGTACTATTATTCTTCATATTTTTTTACATTATTTGCATTGATAATAAAAAAAGAGCTAATGGAAACAAATGGACATGATTCCATAAATATGTCCCATTATCTGGAATGTACTTATTAAACATTTTCAGATCTACAGTGTTTTGAACTTCGTACACTTAAATGTGAATGTTAAGAGGCTCTTAACCATAGGAAACAAACTGAGGGTTGCTGGAGGGGAGGGGAGTGGAGGGATGGGTAACTGAGTGATGGGCATTAAGGAGGGCATGTGATGTAATGAGCACTGGGTGTTATATGCAACTGATGAATTACTGAACTCTACCTCTGAAACTAATACTATATGTTAATTGAATTTAAATAAAAATGCAAAAAATTGTGAATATTAAATAGTCTGGAGCATTCATATTTTTCTTTTTCTGAAATAAAACCATACTTATTTTGCTTTGGAGTTTTGAAAATTTTTTTCTGGGAAGGACTAGAGTGTTTATTTTGGTAATTTATATTTTAGAGGAAGCTTCTTTTCCTTTTTCTATTAGAGTGTATCCTTAGACACAAGAGATAAGTCAAATATATTTTTATTCCAATGTCAACACTAAAGTCAGTCATACTCTTGCTAAAACACTTAGCCACAATAGTTAAAATAGTTACATCTTTTTTAGGCAGCATTATCTTAGTACATTTAAGCTCTGAGTTGAATGCATATGTATTCTTGTTCTGGCTGTGTCACAGGTAATGATTGCGACATTTGGGCAAGTCCTGTAGAAACTAAAATGTTTTGGTATAAGTACTTTCTAAATTGCTTCTTGTTCTGAAAATATTTTATCCTCTTATTTAGTTTTGTAAATAAATTATTATGAATATCCTCTCCTTTGTTCCTTTTGTATTTGTTGTTATTGTTATGTTTATCTGGTTTTCCTCATGTCCATATTTGGGAATTTCTAACATGATTCTACATAGTACTGTATACTTTGGAGGTACTTTATTTGATCAGATTTTTGTGCATGGGTATATGATCAGAACATTGCATTTAAAAAAATATTACTAAAGAAACTGTGTAACATGTTATTTCTGCTGACATTGATTTTAAAGATTAACTTTTTAATACTTAACTCACACTATCTTTGGAACTTGCTTTTTCATTTAGACTGCGGTCCGTCATGAGTCTTGCAATGGTCTTTATAAGTTATCTCTGTCAGGGCTGGATGGAGGAGACTCAATCAATCGTTCTTTTCTGCTATTGGCTGCTTCAACATTGTTGAAATTTCTTCCTGATGCTCAAGCACTCAAACCTGTCAGGGTAAGATTTTACTGTGTTTAGGAGTGGTTTCTATTTCTGCAATTTTCTTTGCCCCAAGTTTTTATCACTGTATTACATACTTGCAGTAATTTTGAGTACTTGTTTACTGTATGTAGTTTTTACCAAGAGAATAGTTAATACAGTTCGTAAAGTGACAGCATTGTGGACATATTGTGTCCATGTTACACCTAGGAATGGAGTTTTGGAAATAGCATTTGTTCTAACTAAAATTGAATGATAAAACCATCATAAGTGTAGCTTTCTTCTCATTCAGTCACACAGATTTTTTTTTAATCTTTATGATACTCTGAATTTTGAATTTCCTTTCCTGCTCCAGTGTATATACTACCCTGTAAAAAAGCCTTCTACTACATAATAAATTCAGAGCTCATTAAGTAAATTCTACTAATCCCAGAAATATGATGCATTGTAGGATTTACTTTTTCCTCCTCTGTGTTTGTCATCAAGTATGTAAGATATGTAATGTGTTTTTTATGTTTTAGATTTCAAAACTATAATAGACCATTGCATTTGGGTAGATTTATATATACTTATGTTCTGTAGGTTTCTTTTGTTGACACACATTTTCATTGAATTCTTCGTTTCTGTCACGTTATTTAACATTATATGTTACTCATGTAATGACTTTTCCGAGTAGGTTATAAGAAATTTGAGGGTAATACTTTATACTATTCACTTATGGGCCTAGTTATTCTAATTTTATAGAAGCTAGAAGTGTTCTTCCCATTTTTTGTTAAATTTTGAATACTGTTTGTATAGGGATTTAATTTTTTCATAAGGTCTGTAGTTTCTTAAATGTATTGTAATTTTAGGTTATTCCCCTTTTTAAAATGTTTTCACAAAGTTAAAAATTTTATTTTTTAATAGATAGATGATTATGAAGAAGAACCAATGTTAAAACCTGGATGTAAAGAGTATTTTTGGTTGTTGTGCAAATTAGTGGACAACATACATATAAAGGATGCTAGTCAGGTATGTTCAGAAAATTATACATTAACTTGTATGATGTTGGATGGATCATGCTCATGTATGTTTATGACTTTATATAAGCCCTTATTTTTGAGGGCATTTTTTATCATTCTCTAAGGGTTGAAAATGCCATAATTATTTTATTGTAGTTGGACCTTTTTGTTTTGCTCTAAATTCCTTTCTTCTTTTTACTTTGACCTTTGTTGAAATGTCTTCATCTGGTACCTATAAGTAATTTCCTATTTCTTCTGAGTAAGATTTGTAGATCTAAAATGTCACTTGGAATGTGAAATTTAGACTTTAAATGTAAATACACAGTGTTTTGTAATAGCATATGGGTTTGGAGTTTTGGATATGTAAAATAAAATTGCAATTCAAATAGAATTTATTTTAAGGTTAAGAAACTATTAACTTACTGATCTACTAATTTTCTTAGACTAATTTTCTTTTTGAGAGCAAGAGCACATGGACCAGTGAGGTGGACGCAGGTGGGGAGAGGGGCAGAGGGAGAGGTAGAGAGAGAATCTTAAGCAGGCTTCATGCGCAGCACGGAGCAGATGCTGGGCTGAATCTCATAACTCTGAGATCATGACCTGAGCTGAAACCAAGGGTTGTACACTTAGCCACTGAGCCACCAGACAGCCCCTCCCCCTTAAATTTATTTTTTAAAGCCTAGTTTAAAGGTGGTGTTAAAAACAAACCTTAGTGGGGCACCTGGGTGGCTCAGTCGTTAAGCGTCTGCCTTCGGCTCAGGTCATGATCCCAGGGTCCTGGGATCGAGCCCCACATCGGGCTCCCTGCTCGGCCGGGAGCCTGCTTCTCCCTCTCCCTCTTTGCGCGTGCTCCCTCTCTCTCTAACTCTCTCTCAAATTAAGTAAAAAATCCATGGAATGTCAGTAATAAGTTATGATAGTCATAGTAATGTATGGAGGAGATACAAAGGTTTGTTGTTTTATTTTCTCTAACAATTTTATTGAGATATAGTTCGCATTACCAGTCAATTTGCCCACTAAGGTTTGTTTTTTTTTTTAAAGCTTTTATTTATTTTTTGACAGAGAGAGACACAGCGAGAGAGGGAACACAAGCAGGGAGAGTGGGAGAGGGAGAAGCAGGCTCCCCGCTGAGCAGGGAGCCCAATGTGGAGCTCAATCCCAGGACACCAGGATCATGACCTTAACCAAAGGCAGACGCTTAACTGACTGAGCCACCCAGGCATACCCCATGGATTCTTTTTTAAAGGACTATCAATGATTGGTTTATAACTATCAAAGAGTAGCTGTATTATTTATAATTTAATTAGTATGTTAATGAATTTGGTAGAACCAAATTCTTATTACTTACAGGGGAAGGATATTTTTTGTTTTAGTAACCTCTGCCTACTAAACACTTTGAATTTTGTATTTTCTCTTTGTATTAAGACCACACTCCTTGACTTAGATGCTTTGGCACGACATTTGGCTGACTGTATTCGAAGGTAAAATTTGATGTGGAATTGACAATTTTATCGTTCAGGAAACATAAAGGACATAAGTATGTGAACTATCTTGTTTTGCTTGTGTTCTTTTTTGTAGCAGGGAAATCCTTGATCATCAAGATGGTAATATAGAAGATGATGGGCTTACAGGACTTCTAAGGCTTGCAACAAGTGTTATTAAACACAAACCACCCTTTAAATTTTCCAGAGAAGGACAGGTAGGTATTAAGACATCTAAATGTCTGTATGAAATATGATTGAAATTTTTTTTGTTGTTGCATTGTATGTGGGTACATTAAATTTTCTTAAACATGCAAACATAAAGCTTGCTAGAACTTGTTGGTAGGAAAAGAGAACACTGAAAAAATGAACCCTAGAAATATTAATGCTAAGCTTATATGCAGAAAAAATTTTAATTCCTGTGACTTGTACATAGAAAGGCAACCTCTACTACAATTTCTGTAGGGTTGACAATTTTGAATTAATAATTTACACAGAATTAATAAGTAGTCATAGAGTACCTGTCTGTTTTCATGTTTTAGAAGCCCATTTGACATGAAATCTGTGAATATTTGATAACACCTAAGCACTCTATACCCATAAATGCCTAATTACTCTTCAGATTAAGTTATTTACTCTGCCATTAGCACTTTTGTCATTGCCTGCATTGAGGGAGTTAGTTTTGGTTTGGAGGGTTGTTTTCTTGAGGTCACTAATTGTGGTAGGAAACACAGGAATAACCAGGAGGATGGAAGATAATCCTCAAGGGCATAGAGTTGGGGATTCTGGAGATAAACTTAAGGTGACAGTCTTAACTGTCTTAAATCTGTACTACTTCCCCTATTTGACAAAGCCCCTTTTTGTGCTATTTTTCTAGGTCCTTTTTAAATTTTTCCTATACTCACTGGGAATAATTTGATTTAGTTTTGCTGGTTGAAGTACTATGTTACATAAGCCAGTATGTAACTTTTATTCTAAAATATAATATATTGATTTCTTTGATAACATATTGTAATGTGAAAATCATTGTAAAAAAAGAAATTTTTAGATAGTGCAAAGAGAAGATCCCCATATAGTTTGATTTCCCATGATGCTTAGGTGATGGATGACCTTCCAGGAGTTTCCATAGAAACTCAAGTATACTCAAGTATATCATTAAATACTCAAGTATATCATTTATATTACATAAATACCATTTTGTGATCTGCTTTTTTAATTTAAAAAAATGAATACATTAAAAATATATTTCAAAAAATAAATATATAAGGAGGGAAACTATTTTTATTGACATTTATGTTGTTACTGGTTGTAAGAAAAAAAAAAAAAAGCAACTGCAGGGAACATCATCTTTGTACCCCTGTCCCATTATATACTCCTATTCTTAAAAGTAAATTTGATTGATTTTAATCATATTAGCTTACAAAAGGCTCTGTCCTTTTATTCTCCCAGCTGCACTGTATTAGAATGTTTCTAATATTCAGTTTCTCAGATATCCCCACATGTGATAGGGATATCTGAGACATTCCTTACATGTGAAGTCTTTGCCAGTCTCACTTTTGCTTTAGTTTTATGTCTTTGGTTTTTGTTGAAGATGAGTGTCTTTTTATGTACGTATTGTCTATTTGTGTTAACTTGTGAATTTTCTGTTTATAATCTGTGTATCTTTTGTCATTTTTCTTCTCATTTGTAAAAGTCTGAATTTTGAAAATATTAAAAAGAATTTAATATTCTTTTTCTGTCCTCTTTTCCAGAATTCTTTTTTTGCTTATCCATGTTTATTATTTTTTATTTTTTTAAAGATTTTTTTATTTATTTGCAGAGAGAGCGAGAGAGGGAACACAAGCAGGGGGAGTAGGAGAGGGAGAAGCAGGCTTCCCACTGAGCAGGAAGCCCAATGTGGGGCTGGATCCCAGGACCCTGGGGTCATGACCTGAGCCAGGGGCAGAAGCTTAACGACTGAGCTACCCAGGCGCCCCTGCTTATCCTTGTTTCTTAAAGAGTAGTTGTTTTTTTCTTCTGTGTTTTGTTTATTATACAAATAATAATCTTAGGCAAAGTTTTGAGCCCTTACAAAGGTAGATGTTATTATTAGACCCTGTTTTGACAAATGATGAAATTAAGCCATAGACAGGTTAAGCAACTTGCCTCACTGAGGTTACTCATACTCTTCACTTAGCTGACCTTCTAACCACTATGCAATACTGGCTACAGATGTTAAAATCCTAAACATATGGCTCTTTAGTTTCCTTTTTTCACCACCTTAGAGAGTCTCCATATCTGTATATGCTATATCAGGTTAATTCATTCTTTTTAACAACTGCATAGTAGTCTGTGTGTGTGTGTGTGTGTGTGTATTTTAATGTTTTATTTATTTTTTAAGAATTTATTCATTCATTTGATAGAGAGCATAAGCAGGGGGAGAGGCAGGCAGTGGGAGAAGAGAAGCAGGCTCCCCACTGAGCAAGGAGGCCGATGCAGGGCTTGATCCCAAGACCCTGGGATCGTGACCTGAACTGAAGGCAGACACTTAACCAACTGAGCCACCCAGGCGCCCCCCCCCTTTTTTTAACAAGAGGAATATTTGGGGGACATGCTAGTTGTTTTGTTTCCTTTTTTTTTTTTTTTAAAGATTTATTTATTTGAGAGAGTGAGCAAGCAAGAGAGCATGAGCAGGGGACGGAGCAGAGGGTAAGGGAGAAGCAGCCTCCCCACTGAACAGGAAGCCTAACATGGGGCTCGATCCCAGGACCCTGGGATCATGACCTGAGCCAAAGGCAGACGTGTATATATCCAGCTCTTAATGATGAAAATTGTCTTATACTCTTACAGTGATATTGTAGTGAAGATGTTTATACATCTGTCACTTAGGAAATCTGTAGGAAAAAACTCTGGAAGTAAAAATGCTGGTTCACAGGGTTGTACCTTTTTGACTTTGGTCGTTATAACCATGTTGCTTTCTCTGGATGCTGAGCCAATTTATTGCTCCTACACTGTATGTCGATGAGTGCCATTTCGTCATATTCTCACCAACCCAGTATAATACCATATATTTCATTTCTGCCAGTCCAATAGTGAAAAACATTGTCCTAGTTTTATTTTACTTTTTGTAATTATGAGTAAGGTTGAGCTTCTTTGCATGTGTTGGAAAACCATTATTTTGTGTTATCTTTTCTCTGATCTAGACTCTAGGTAGAGAAGTGGGAGGGCGAATGTGTTGGGAATCTAGCTAGGAATCAGTGGTTCTGGAGAGGGGTGATGGTGAAAAGTGTTTGGATTTGGGATATTTATTGAAGAAGGTAGAGCTCACAGACTTAAATTTGGATAGGATTGTGAGGTGGGAGAGAAAGACTCCTCAGTTTTGAGCCTGAGAAACTAAATGAATGATAATTCCATCTACTAAGAAGGGGAAATCTCGATATAGATCATTTTTGGGGAGAAGTGAGGTTGTCAGAATCAAGCCTATTTTGGACATGTTAAATAGGAAATGTCAATTAGATATGCAAGTGGAGGTGTTTAAGGCAGTTGGTTTGGTGTAATACTAAGAAAAGTTTTATTTATATTTAAAATAACTTTTCTACTTTAATGACTTTATTATTTAAGAATTCTTAAAAATTTCATTGAGAATTTAGTTCGGGAATCAGTTAACATTTTCTGTAAAGAGCCTTACAGTAAATATTTTAGGGTGTGCAGGCTAAATAAGGTCTCTTTCACCACCATCACCACTAGTACTACTGCTTTCCTTCCTCTTCATGCCCTCTTCCTCCATTTTTCTAATTCCCTTTTAAAAATATAAACCTCATTCTTATCTCTACTACGTTGCATGGTATCTAACAACAAATACATACTGAACAGACTGATGATTAAGACTCAATCCTGATTCTTAAGAACTGACTATGTATTTTTTAAGAACAATTTAATGGTTCATTTTTTTCAGCAGGTAATTATTGAGAAACCTGTCTTATTCAAAATTTGTATGTACCTTCACAAATAATGGCTGCTCAGGATATTTACCATTAGTGTTAAAAAAAAAAAAAAAGACCATTAAAGGGATACCATCAGGGATGTGAGGATCACATAGTGCTGACATGATTAGGAAAGGCTTTGAAGAGGATACAGCTTTTATAATACAGGATAAAGGGGTTTTGGTTTTTCTTTTTTTTTTTTTTAAGATCTTATTTGTCAGAGAGGGAGAGAACAAGCAGAGGGAGAAGCAGACTCCCTGCTGAGCAAGGAGCCCGATGCGGGACTTGATCCCAGGACCCTGGGATCATGACCTGAGCCTAAGGCAGATGCTTAACCGACTGAGCCACCCAGGCGTCCCCAGGATACATTTTTTTTTTTTTTTTAAGTAGAAAAGTAAAGGAAACCTTTAAGTCCTAGAAAAGAATATGAGTAAAAATAAAGTGATAGGAACCACTGGATATGTGTAGGAAGTTCAGGGATTAGTTCAGCTTGACTTGAGTTTGAAAAAGTATAGGAGGTAACTTTGGGAAGCTAGATATGGTCATCTCTTGAGTTCACAGGAAATTATTTTTATATGTACATGCAGTAAAACAAAAGCATTACTTTTGTAATTTAAAAAAGGGAGTCCTGGGCGCCTGGGTGGCTCAGTTGGTTAAGCGACTGCCTTCGGCTCAGGTCATGATCCTGGAGTCCCGGGATCGAGTCCTGCATCGGGCTTCCTGCTCAGCAGGGAGTCTGCTTCTCCCTCTCCCGCTCCTCCCTCTTGTGCTCTCTCTCTCAAATAAATAAATAAAATCTTAAAAAAAGGGAGTCCTTAAAGTGTTTGATCCAGTCAAATAACGTCAGGAATGTGCATTAGCAAAATACCTGGTGACAGATTAAGAGCCAGCAGAGTACAGTAGTCTTCAAACTTTTATTGCTCACATGGTCTTGTGCTTGCTTCGGCAGCACATATACTAAAATATTGCTCACATAGTCTTTAAAGAATTTTGGGAAACGTAGGTGTCCTCACACAGATTCTTAGACTTTAAAACATTTCTAGATTTTTCAACTCTATTTTTTAAATTTTGTTTTAAGTTTTTATTTTAGTTCTAGTTAATATACAGTGTTATATTACTTTCAAGTGTACAGTATAGTGATTCAGCAATTCCATGTTTCATTTATTGCTCATCACAAGTACACTCCTTAATCCCCATCAACTCTGTATTTTTAAAGAATATAATTTCCAGGAATTTGTTAAAACTAAAAAAAAATTTAAAAAACATAATTAATGTAAAAAATACTGTGACCTCACGGTGTTGTCCAAAATTTCTTCTGTATTTAATTATCATTACATTACATTTATTTGGATATGGGCAATCAAAGCAACATAAATATACTTTTTTTCATATACACAGCAAACTTTAAGTAAAAGCTCTTTTTAGTAACATTTTATAGAAGGAAATTTGTATCTTCATCAAATGTCGAAAGTCCATCTTCTAGCATTAAAAGTAGTTGGCAGTCTATAGCAATAATTTTGTCAATCTTTCTGTTTACATTTTTTCAGTCTCAAAAATAGAAGGAACTATATTCTTGATATATTTTTATAGAGTCTGTTGTTTTGCAATTTGATTAGTAAGAACAGAATGGGTTTAGGATGTCTCATTTTTCTCTGAAACTTTTTCTTATAGTCATTTCTTTTATATCTGGGTCAAAGTTGTTTCAGCATGGTTGTCGCTTTACATGATTGTAGAGATTTCCTTCTCGTGTGGGGTGACAAGTAAGTCATGTAAGTCTCGTAAGTCATCCTCGCAGGAGGTGAAGAATTCCCAAAGGGGACTTTTTCTTAAAAGACTCGAAGGTCAGCGAGAAAGCAGTGAGCCCAGTTGACTCTGTGGATACTGGCATGTTTTGTTCACCAGCCTCAGAGTTGTTGAGGGTCTTCTTTGTATTCCATGTCTGATCACCAAGTAATGTTAACCTTAAAAAACAAAACTGCCAGTTATTTTACCAGCAAAAATGGGTTTATTTGTGAATAGCAGAGACTCGCAACCCAGGGCATGCACTCTTCTGCAGAACCATAGGCAAGTCCAAATATACCTTAATTTTTGCCAGGGAAGTATGAAACATTAAAATGAAATTTAGTTGAAAATGAATGTATTAACAAGAAGGATGGGCCTTTTAAAATTAATTCATATAGTTACAGGTGGATATTACTTGTTAATGAGGTCAAATGTGTGTTCATTAATTCTCTTCCTACTTTATATTTTTATTTATTGTTTTTAAAGAAGATTTTATTTATTTGACAGAGACACAGCAAGAGAGGGAACACAAGCAGGGGGAGTGGGGGAGGGAGAAGCAGGCTTCCCGCTGAGCAGGGAGTCCGATGTGGGACTCAATCCCAGGACCCTGGGATCATGACCTGAGCCGAAGGCAGATGCTTAACGACTGAGCCACCCAGGCGCCCTTTACTTTATATTTTTATAATGTAGATTCTGGGAAACCTTATTTACATAATGGAAATGTAAACTTTGTTCACATGTTTACAGTGGAAATGGAAGTTTTATTTTAACAGTGTTATTTAATCTTTGAATTTCTTCTGAATTACATGTTAAAAATCACACTGATCTATTATCAGAAACTATTTTTAGTATTCTCTCAGCAGTTTGAGGTTCTTTTTTCTGTGAAGTATACCAGAATGGATTTACCATTATTTATCAGATGGACATATTGTGGGGTACCTGGGTGGGTCAGTTGGTTGAGCGTCTGACTCTTGGTTTCGGCTCAGGTCATGATCTTAGAGTCATGGGATTGGGCCCTGTGTCAGACTCCATGCTCAGTGGGGAGTCTGCTTGAGATTCTTTCTCAAATAAATCTTTTAAAAAATGGACATATTAATATATAGATTATCCTTTTAATACCTGCTTTTCTGGTAAACTCAGTAAGGAAAATTAAATATTGTTCATTTCATTATGCTTTTACCAACCTGATATTTCTGATAAAGTGTTTTTATCTTATCATAGGTTTTAAATATATTTTATCAAAGCTTTGGAGCTATGGAAACTTAGCTCATTCAATTTCTGGTTCTAAACTGATGGGCAAAAGATAGTTCATTTTATTTATTTTTTATTTTTCTAGAGTGGGGGAGGGGCAGAAGGAGAGGGAGAGAATCTTAAGCAGGCCCCACGTTAACCAGGTACCCCCATGATATTTCATTTTAAACTAGTTATTAGCCGGTTCCATTTTTTTTTTTTAGTTTGACTTTAATTTCTAGCTGAAGTAAATGTGTTATCTTGTATCTCCAAGACACATCATCTAATCTCTGAATTCTAAGATAGGCAAGACAGACTTATCAGTCTGCCAGCTATATGAAGTAGACCCTATTCACTTTCCATATTTCTTAGCCAGACTTACTTTTCTTTTATTTATTTATTTATTTATTTATTTATTTATTTTGAGAGAGAGAATGAGAGACAGAGAGCATGAGAGGGAGGAGGGTCAGAGGGAGAAGCAGACTCCCTGCCGAGCAGGGAGCCCGATGCGGGACTCGATCCCGGGACTCCAGGATCATGACCTGAGCCGAAGGCAGTCGCTTAACCAACTGAGCCACCCAGGCGCCCCAGACTTACTTTTCATTGCAAAATCAGGACTTTGTACTTTGACAATAGTGAGATGTCATTAATGGGAAAATATTTCAAATTGTCCTTTATTTGGTACTTGTGTCATAGGTTCCAAAGACCATCCCCAGGTTCAGTGATTGACTGGAAGGGCTCAAAGGACTCAGCATGTAGTTGTACTAGTGGCTGAGATTTGTTACAGCAAAATAATACAAAATGAAGTCAGTGACAAAAAAGATAGCATCCAGCCAAATCTGGTGGAGACTAGGTTCATGCTTTTAAGAGTCCTCTCCTATTGGAATTGCACAGGATGTGCTTAATTTCCTCAGCGATGAGTGTGACAACATGTGTGAGGTGTCATCTATCGGGGGAACTCTCTTGAGCCTCACTCAGGTCAGGGTTTTAGGTTGGGTGAAATGGGGGTTGTCATTTATAGTACCTGTGTAACTGACCACAGTGTCTGAAATTCCAGACTCCCAGATGGAAAGCAGGTATTCAGCATAAACCAAATATAAAAGGCATAGTGAGCCACTTTTATCACTTAGGAAAAGTTTTATATCAGAGGAACGAACTCTTTACTGTTCCAATTTTCACATGACAGCCAGGGATCAACCTTAGAATCCAGCCATTCTAAGTGTAAGAGAATGTTAGTCTTTAACTACATTACCTCTTTTCTGCACAGTACACCAGAATTCTGGTTTTATACCCCAGAACAATGTATCATGGTAGTATTTGAGGAATGTGAGAAATAACTATCTTTGGTAAAGTAACAAAGGACCAATTAATAAGAAACAGGTAGGAAAGGTGACCCTTTCTCAGGTGGATCAAATTTAGAGGAAAAAATACATCTAGGATGGTAAAACTTCGTACTTCAGTTTGAACTTCACTGGGATCGAGAGCTTGGTGTCTGAAATCCTGGCTCTGGCTTCTTCCAACTCTGTGACTCCAGGCAAGGTTCTTAGCCTTCTTTGTCTTTTGTATGGGGGCCTTTGAGCAGTATCATCATAACTGTTCATTTTGAGTAAGTTGGTGCTTTTGCTACTGCTGCTGTTAATGTTATGAGAGTGAAATAAGGAGAAACAGAGGTAAATGGCAAAGGCAATCAAGATAGGAGTCCTTAACAAAAACTTTTGGTCACTTAATGGAGTGGAAAATAATAGCATTATAGATGGGAATCTAAGAATGAGCCTGTTAGCTATCAAGAGGTAAGGAAGAGTAAAGTTGATCCCTACCCATTCTGTTTTTTTTTTTTAAGAGAAATGAACATTGGGAAGACTTTGAGATGATGGTATATGATGCTGCTCTAAGTTTTTAAATAGCCTTTTAGTAAATTGTAGATTGTCCTATAGTCTAGTTCACTCTATGTAAGGTATTCATTATATTTAGAATATAACTAACATGTAACTTTAGATAATATACTTGGCCTTTCTTTTTTTCCCAGGAATTTTTAAGAGATATCTTCAATCTCCTGTTTTTGTTGCCTAGTCTAAAAGACAGACAACAGCCAAAGTGCAAATCACATTCTTCAAGAGCTGCTGCGTATGATTTGTTAGTAGAGATGGTAAAGGGATCCGTTGAGAACTACAGACTAATACACAACTGGGTTATGGCACAACACATGCAGTGTAAGCATTCTTTTCCTTTTAATCTTTCTAAATTTTACGAGCAGAAAAGAGATTTTGGAAGGCATGGCTATAGAAAGAGTTCACTATTCATACACTTTTAACATTATAAACTATTGTTGCTAAGATGTTAAAAAAGTAAACGTTGATTTGTTAAAAAAAACAGATGTAAAGGACTTTATAGGTATCTGAAATATTTTGGAATTTTTTGGTTAAATAATTTAGTGCCAAGTGAAATCAAATATTGGCAGTCTTTTGAATTTTTAGAGAATGAATTAGCTTTTCTGTGTGTTCTTACTAATTTTATTTCTTTTTTGAGTATTATTGACATACAGTGTTACATTAGTTTTAGTTATCATATATAATATTTTATGTATATTAACTAAAGTAATGGAGAGTAGTGGCTGTTAGTAAAAGCAAAATACATTATGTTTAATAGTTTGTTTGGGGGGCATCTTTTCCTCCCTCTTTTTTCAGCAGCCCATGCGCCTTATAAATGGGACTACTGGCCCCATGAGGATGTTCGTGCTGAGTGTAGATTTGTTGGCCTAACTAACCTTGGAGCTACTTGTTACTTGGCTTCTACTATTCAGCAACTTTATATGATACCTGAGGCAAGACAGGCTGTCTTCACTGCTAAGGTACAGTTTTCCTCACTTCAGTATTAAAACTGTAAAAGAAAATTTTAAAATTTTGTTAATCTTGATTATTTCAATTTAGTAAACATTGAGAAAGTAATTTATGAATTAAAAAATGACTATTTGATTACATAACTAGCTCATGTAAACTTAAATATTTTACATTTCGTAGGTTACTCCTAACATACTAGTATAATTTCCTTATTTCTCAAAGGAAAACACAGTTGTGGAATATATACATTCAGTGTATACAGTGAACATGGTATTTTCAGTAAAAATAAATACAAATTTTCTTTACATAAAAATAAGCAAAGCCTAAAACAAAGTAGAGGAATGTACCAGAATCACTTAACTTGTTTTATTTTTATCCCAAAGTAAATTTGACTGTGGGCCTAATTTATTTGGGTAAGGTCTGCTTTATGTTATTCTTGTTATTTCTAGTTTTCACTCTTTTTAACCATGGACTGTTGTTTAGTTTGCCTTTTGCACTGCTTTTATAATTTCTTGGCAAACTTACTTCATGCTTGTACTTGGGTTTCTGTTTTCCTCCATCATGTCATCTTGATGTCCTGACTTTACCCCCCTAAAAAAGTATTGCAATTCTTTATGTACTTTCAGTGAATCCTTAAGATGTTTTTAGGCTTCAAAGTCTCCGAGTTATAGTATAGTCAAGTGGGGTTTTTTTTTTAATGTTAGTTATATTAATGCTTTTAAGTTTATCTTCTGAGACTGATGATCCTTAGAAATAGTTGAATAACTGATTGATTTTGTGTACGGAAATTTTTGTGACTAAATTTGTGGCCCTATCTGCTTAATAGGAACCAGTGATGAGCGAAGAGGCATAATTTCAGTGATTTTTTTTTTTTTTTCCTGACTGTTAACATGGCCATACTTCGTGATTTCTCTTCTAAATATTAATGATCACCGTTTAGCCATTAGCACTTTCAGGAATTCAAATGTAGCACCAGAAAGAACAATCAGATGTGTTAATTGGGAGTAGGTCTCATAAATGGTGTTTCTGGTTAAAAACTAAATTTAGACATGTTTCTACATAAAAAATTCTTAACAGAATAGAATTTGACATGACTTTGGAAAGTACTCTAGTCAAAAGTGCACTTGATTATTTATGTGAATGCATTAGTTACTTTTATTTCCTTTTCTGATGTTCACAGTAAGAGTAAAGAAATCTACATGTATTTTAATTGTAGTAAAATATACCCAACTAAATACAAGTGTACAGTTCTGTGGTAGTTAGTATATTGATATCGCATTACCACCATCAGTCTCAAAAATTTTTTCACTTCCCCCAACTAAAACTCTGTACCCATTAAATACTTCCCATTCTCCATTCCCCCAAACCTCATGCAACTACTATTCTACTACTTATCTCTATGAATTTGACTATTCTAGATACCTCACTTAAGTGGAATCCTACATTCTTAGCATAGTGTCTCCAAGGTTCATCCATGTTGTAGCATGTTGAGAGTTTCCTTCTTTTTTAAGGCTGAATAATAGTCCATTGTGTGTCTGTACCACATTTTGTTTATCCATTCATCTGTCATTGGACATTTCTGGGTTGCTTCTATCTTTTGGCTATTATAAATAATGTTTCCATGAACATGAGTGTTCAAATATCCATTTGAATCCCTGTTTTCACTTCTTTTACGTATATACCCAGAAGCGGAATTGCTAGATCATATGGGAATTCTGTGTTTAACTTTTTGAGGTATCACTGTGCTGGTGTTCTGTAGTGGCTGTGCCATTTTACCTTCCTATCAGCAGTGCACAAACATGCCAATTTATTCACACCCCTGCTGGCCCTTGTTTTCTGTTTTTTGACAATAGCCATCCTAATGGGTGCAAATATGTATTCCTTTAAGTATTAAATACATATGTAAGGTTTATATTTAGAACTTCTACATTAAGTAAAACATTCTTGCTTTTTTCTTAATATAGAAGACTCCAGTCACTTCCGTTCTTCAGCCAACTAATACTTAATTCTCCAGCAATGAAAATTTTAAATCCAAGTCTTTATTCCTGACCATTGTTGTATTATATATAGTTTGCATGTATCATGTATCATCACCGTTCTGTTACATATGGGAAAGTGTTGTTTTTTGTGACTTCTACTCTAATCTCATGGAGTATTAAGCCTCCCATATGTCCGTTATATTACTGTAATTGTTTTGTCAATTTTGTTGATTCCTTTTATTCAGTTCCTATTGTACTTAATATTATACAATTTTGCAGTAACTATATGTTGAATAGATTCCTTTTCAGTGTCTTTATGTCCTCAGTTTGATTATAAGCTCCTAAATAGCAGAACCACATTACTGAACACTCCCCACAAAATTGACACAAATAACTAGTGTATACTTCTGGCATATAGAAGGCTTATTATTCCACAAGACTATCAGAGCTTCTTCAAGATTTTGACAAGTAGTTTGTAGTGAGGATAATATTTCATAGTTTTGTTTTTTTTTTTTAAATATTTGGATGAGCTAGAGTATATCTAATAAGTGTCTATAAGGCTGGTGTTCAGGACTAAGTCTCTAGTGAGTGAGTATAGCCAGATACCTGAATTTCAGTTAATGATATTTGAATATATAGAAGGCTTTCAAGCTTGTTGGCCAGTAATTTTTCTGCAATATTAAGGATATACTGTTCTAGAAAAAAAAAGATATGACTAGATGATGGAGAGATGTCATTTATTATTATAATACATTTTTTTATTTTTTTAAAGATTTTATTTATTTATTTGAGAGAGAGAGAATGAGAGACAGAGAGCATGAGAGGGAGGAGGGTCAGAGGGAGAAGCAGACTCCCTGCCGAGCAGGGAGCCCGATGCAGGACTTGATCCCGGGACTCCAGGATCATGACCTGAGCCGAAGGCAGTCGCTTAACCAACTGAGCCACCCAGGCGCCCTATAATACATTTTTTTAAATGTATGGATTTATTTGTAGAAAACAGTTTTGTTGCACACCTATGATGTTTTCTGTTCCTGCACAGTTACCAGCTTGTGAAAACAGCATTGTACCAAATGAGTGTTGATCTGGAAAGCAATTTTTTTTTTTTTTAAAGATCTCTTTATTCCGTTTTCTTACATAATAGCGATGGCTTCATTTATATAATGAATAAAATAATTTTTTAAATGCTAAATTGCTAAATAAAGAATAGCCTTTTTCTTACATAGAGCTAAAAGAATGAAAACAGATACAGTAATAGCACATTGTAATACTTTCTTTGCTAGACTGTCTAATTTGCTACCATCAGTATGTTTTAATGGAATATTTTTCTCTTGATTTTCAGTATTCAGAAGATATGAAGCACAAGACCACTCTTTTGGAGCTTCAAAAAATGTTTACATATTTAATGGTATGTTTGAGAACCATATATGGAAAACTAGTTTAGATATAACCTATATAAGTTGAAAACATTAAATGAAGTTCATTTGTATTGGATTTGTCCTGCCTATATACTCTTATTTTTCAAATTGAATTTGTCAGTTATTGGTGTTCTTTGTCAAAGTGACTTTTAAACAGTTGCATGTCACTCATCTGCATGACGACTGTTAATTTGTCCTTTAATGAATCCTTTGTATCCATCTGGTCCTTTTCCCACCACAGGGTCACCCCACTCTCCCCCTCCCCCCCAGAATTTTTTGATTGATTTCTCCTTGTCCCTTTTAATTCCCCCCCCAGAACTATAAAAGTAATCAACCTTAAAAAATTAGCAAATCTTACAATATTATTCCTCTGCTTAAAACTCTTCGGTGGTTTTTTATTATGAACAGAATAGTATCCAGGTTCATCAGCACATGTCTTCTGATTTTGCCCCTTTCTTTTAACCTCCTTTCTCTCTCTCTCTTTTTTTTTAAGATTTTACCTTTTTTTTTTTAAGTATTCCCAACACCTAATGTGGGGCTCGAACCCACAGCCCTGAGATCAAGAGTTATATGCTGTACTGACTGAGCCAGCCAGGCACCCCTTCAGCATCCTCTCCTACCCTTCCCTCTATCCAGCTGAATCCCGTAGCAAGTGTCCGCCCTTGGAAGCCCATCACCCTGTTGCTTCATCACTTGTGCAGCTGTTCATGCTGCTGCTTCTGCCTGTAACACTCTTTCTGTAGCACTTTTTTTTCCCCCTTTTCTTCTTATTGTCATCTTTCCCGAAGCAATTTATTTTCAACTCCTCTGAGAAAACCGTAGATTCCACAACTCTGTCTCATACCTACCACTTGTAGTGAAAGTTACTCATCTCACCTGTTAGAATCCTGAAGACAGAGATTATATCATGTTTATTCCTGTATTTTTCAGCTTCTGACAGTTAAGGAGTCAATAAATGAAATTTTTGGGCGCCTGGGTGGCTCAGTTGGTTAAGCGACTGCCTTCGGCTCAGGTCATGATCCTGGAGTCCTGGGATCGAGTCCCACATCGGGCTCCCTGCTCAGCAGGGGGTCTGCTCATCCCTCTGTCCTCTTCCCTCTCATGCTCTCTGTCTCTCATTCTCTCTCTCAAATAAATAAATAAAATCTTTAAAAAATAAAAAAATAAAAAATAAAAAAAAATAAATGAAATTTTTAACAAAATTAAAAGATTTAGTAGTCATTCTTGGATTGCAATTTTTTTTTGGAGGGGGAGGGGGAAAGAAAGAATCTTAAGCAGGCTCTGTGGAGCCTGATCGGGGCTCGATCTCAAAACCCTGAGATCATGACCTGAACTGAAATCAAGAGTTGGATGCTCAACTGAATGAGCCACCCAGGCACCCTGATCCCACTTTTAATATACCTTTAACAGAGTTGGAGCATGCCATCTGAACTGACAAAACAGAAAAGTATTTTAAACTACTTTTTTTTTCTTAAAGATTTTATTTATTTTTGAGAGAGAGAGAGTGCATGCGAGCACGAGTTGGGGGTGGGGAGGGAGGGGCAGAAGGAGAAGCAGACTCCTCACTGAGCAGGTAGCCTGATGCGGGATTCGGTCCCAGGACCCTGGGATCATGACCTGAGCCGAAGGCAGATGCTTAACTGACTGAGCCACCCAGGTGCCCTTAAACTACTCTTTTAAGAACTACTAAAGTACTCAGGTGCCTGGGTCGCTCAGTTGGCTAAGCATCTACCTTCGGCTCAGGTCATGATCCTCGGGTCCTGGTATCATCAAATCCCATGTCAGGCACTCTGCTCAGTGGGGAGTCTGCTTCACCCTCCCCCTCTGATCCTCCCTGCCTGCTCGTGCTCTCTCACTTGTGCATTCTCTCAAATGAATAAATAAAAAATTTTAAAAACAAAAAACTCTTAAGTTCAGTCTGTAGGAAATCTTACTTAGCCTGCAAAATTTTTCTGTTTTCTGTTTCATAGTACACATTTGCATCCTTTGAGTCCCAAATTCCTTCCTAGAAATTATTAGACTTAAAAAAATACAAATTTCAGGGGCGCCTGGGTGGCTCAGTCGTTAAGTGTCTGCCTTCGGCTCAGGTCATGATCCCAGGGTCCTGGGATGGAGCCTTGTGTCGAGCTCCCTGCTCCGTGGGAAGCCTGCTTCTCCCTCTCCCACTCCCCCTGCTTGTGTTCCTCTCTCGTTGTCTCTCTCTCTGTCAAATAAATAAATCTTAAAAAAAAAAAATACAAATTTCATAACAGTAATTTAAGCATCTTCAGGCACCAGGACTATTAAATTGAAAAGCGTGGTTGGAACTAGAGGGTATTTTGCTAAGCGAAATAAGTCAATCAGAGAAAGAGAATTACCATATGATCTCACTGATATGTGGAATTTAAGAAACAAGGCAGAGGATCATAGGGGAAGAGGAAAAAAAAACAAGACGAAACCAGAGAGGGAGATAAATCTTAAGAGACTCTTAATCTCAGGAAACAAACAGGGTTGCTGGAGGTGGTGGAGGGGGGTAGGGTGTATGTTGTAATGAGCACTGAGTATTATGTAAGACTGATGAATCACAGACCTGTACCCCTGAAACAAATAATATATTATATGTTAATTAATTGAATTTAATTGAATGAAACAAGAAAGCAGTTCTGTTGTAGATTTACTCCGTTTTGTTGTTTTGTTATTTATTCAAGAACCTTGTGATAATGTTCTTTTTTTGAAATGTAGGATTTGATTGTTTCATGATCCATCCTTCTCCCTTTTCCTTTGCAGGAGAGTGAATGCAAAGCATATAATCCTAGGCCCTTTTGTAAAACATACACCATGGATAAGCAGCCTCTGAATACTGGGGAGCAGAAAGATATGACAGAATTTTTTACTGATCTCATTACTAAAATTGAAGAAATGTCTCCAGAACTGGTTAGTACCAGAATACTGCTGTTTCTTTGAAATCTGTACAGATTTGCCCAATTTTAATTACTCACTTTTGTTTGTTTTTAAAGAAAAATACCGTCAAAAGCTTGTTTGGAGGTGTAATTACAAACAATGTTGTGTCCTTGGTAAGTATTGCACCTGTTCTTTACTTTTTTGAAATCTTAATGTCTGTTTTAACTTATTAAAATAAATTACTAATATTTGACTGTTGATTTCCCAGGATTGTGAACATGTTAGTCAGACTGCTGAAGAGTTTTATACTGTGAGGTGCCAAGTGGCTGATATGAAGAACATTTATGTGAGTAAAATTTAATATATTGTTAGACCTTTTCTGCTTTTATTTTAATCAAACAAACTTGCATACAACAGGTTTGTGTTTGTCATCTTGGTGAAAAATAAACTTTCATGTTTTATTTATTTTCTTCTTGATGTGCAGATCAAATAAGAATTAAAGGTAGACCACAAAGCTGATTTTTTTCCCCCAAAGTTGAAATACTTCTACTTTTGAAAAATTAGTAAGATTCATGGAGCATCTTGTCAATTTGAGGGAAAAATTTTTTTTGCTAAAATTTAGAATTTTTTTAATAAAAAGTTTGTTTTCCTCTGTGCAGTCTGCCCAAATGATAAGTACTACGTTTTGTAATTTTGCATACTGTAAACAATAATATGGGACTTTAAAATCTGATTTAATACGCAGGAATCTCTTGATGAAGTTACTATTAAAGACACTTTAGAAGGTGACAACATGTATACTTGTTCTCATTGCGGGAAGAAAGTACGAGCTGAAAAAAGGTATGCTTTCTGAAATGTAATGTTTATCATTTTGATACATCATCAAGTGGAAGTAAAACACAAATGGTAAATTCATGTTAAACTTTTATGAAAATTATGTGATTAAGGTTAAGGTAGGCTGCTTGGAGTTTATTTTATTTTATTTTTTTTAAAGACTTTAATTTTGAAAGAGAGAGAGAGTGCAAGCAGGGGGAGGGACAAAGGCAGAGGGAGAGAGAGAGAATCTCAAGCAGACTCCACACCGAGGGCAGAGCCTGATGTGGGGCTCCAGCCCACAGCCGTGAGGTCGTGACCTGAGCCGAAATCAAGAGTCAGATGCTTTACTAACTGAACCACCCAGGTGCCCCTGAGCTTATTCTTATAAGCAACTTTTCATTCAGTTATTCAGTTGAATATTCAGTCATTCAATTATTGTGCTTTGAAGCACCCTTAAATTTTTCCAAATTTTTTGTGTCCTTTCAATTAAATATTTACCAAGGTCTGATTGCTTTAGCCCTTTGCTGTATATCAGTGAATCATGATGAAGAGTCTCCTCATGAACTGAAGAGATCCTCCTCTGATTCTCTGAAGTGAGAGATTTTTTTTTTTCTTAAGAGCCAACCATAAGTTGGCCCATTTGGGACAGAGTAATTGGGTAAAGAGGTTTCAGTTCTCCAAGTGAACATTGAATGACAAGTAGAAATTGGATTGAGACAGCATCATATGCTGTTAGTTATTTGGAACAAAGGCAGAGAAATAGAAATGACCTTGTATGTGCAAGAAGCCTGGGACTAGGCTAGTCTGCCTCAAGTAGAGGATTTGCATTGACCAGTAATAGAAAATATGATTGGTATACAGTGACATGAAATGATTAATATCTAGATTTTGGGATTATTTGCCATAATTGGTTGGCACCATTTGGACATCTGAGAAAGAACATAACTGTCGTAAAGGACTGACTAGGCCAACCTAAAAGTGCAGTGGAAAAAAGTCAGAATTGAAGCTAGGAAAGAAAGAAATTCATGATAGGATGGTAACCTAGAAACTGGGGAAGAGAATCTCCCAAAGAAGGTATTCAATTGACATAGTCCACAGGAAAGGGGGGAAATTACAGCTGAGTAAAAGCATTGGGTTTTGTAGAAAGATAGTTTAGTGGTATGTTTTTTTGGGTTGTAGCGATAGAAGCAGGGCTGTCAGGGTACATGGCATCAAGTATAGATCATTAATTTTAAAAGTTTGGCAATAAAAAAACAACAAGGAAAATGGAATCTAGAAAGGGCTTGGGGATCAAACAGGACTTTTCTAGATAGATCTGACCATGTTGGAAGGCAGAGAATGAAAAGCCATCTCTTAAAATTGCTTAATAGAAGATTTTTCCAGGGAAATCTACACTGATAGGATTGGTACTCTTTTTCTCAGTCTCCAGATGTCAAGTTGGTTGCAAGAGAGAAAAGTAAGGTAGACATACTTAAATGAAATCATAGCTGTGCAGGCAGTTACAGGGAGAAGACAGGCCCATCTAATGAGAATTGGGTTAGGGTATGAGTTAAGACTTACACAGAATGGAGTCAGTCAAAAGTTTGTTAATATGGAGGGGTATAATGAGGAATCAATAAAAGTTGATAGACTGAGACATTTTCTTTTGAGAATCTTTTTAGTTGGAATAAATAAGCTTACTGAAAATATCTGTCATTCTTGATAACTTCCTGCTTCTTGAAACATTCCCTTCTTTTGGGTAATACGATTCTGCTGTTTTTCTGAAATACTGTCTGCTCTTTTAGGCAGTGTCACTCAGTCCTTTTATACTCTTGCCATACTTTTGAATGTCTATGATAACATAGTAGTCAGCAGAAATGAGCTAAGGATCATCCTTTGCTCTATCTTCAAACCTCTGTTTTTCTCAGTTTATTCATTTTTTCCTGAATAGTTTTGTCTACCACCATAATCTCGATCTCTATTGACATGCTTATGATTCTTAATTCATCTTACCTAATTCAGAATGTTGTGCTGTGTTCTCCCAGCTGTGACTTGTGTGTCTCATAGATTCAGTAAGTCTATAACATAACTCTCATCTCTTTAGCTCCATTATGTCATTTATCCTCTGAATCTTGCATGGTTCCAAGGTCCACCACAGGTCCTTTAGTGACTCTTAGCTCTCAGGATGCAGTTCATACTGTGACATTGCACAGAAGCCCTTCATCATTTGACTCCTTTATATTTCCATAACCTCATCTTTTGCCAGTCTCCCAAATAATCAGTAATGATGGATTTTTAGACTTATTTCCTGTTTATGAAATCTTTCCCCTACCTTCCTTGTCTCCTTAAATTCCTAATTTTTTCTTAAACTGAGCTCTTGATTTAAACAGAATCTCTTTAGAATCTTACGTTCAGTGAAGAATTATTCCCCAAAACGCTATTTTTCATGAATCCAAGCTTTTATATATTTTTTGTTTAAACTGAAATTTTGGTTTGTTTTAATTTGAACTAGCAATATTTGTTAAACCATAATACTTAGGTAATTTGCTGCTGCTGCTGCTATTGTAATATCAAGCAACATTTATTGAATGCTATTTGACAGGCAGCATTCTAAAAGTAGGAGGGAGTAGGCACTTTAATCTCCATTTTAGAAATTTCCAAATTAGGAATTAAGCTCAGAGAGGTTAAGTAACTTGTTGAGGGTCATACATCTAGTAAGTGATACAGCTAAGCTTGGCAGTTCTAATTTATAAAAATAAATAGTTCAACTCCTGTTATTTAAAATGGAAAAGAAAATTCTGAACCGAAGACAACTCCTTTGAAGTTTGGTGCGACACCTTTTTATGCTTCCATAGCACTTTTGCATATCTTTTTCATGGAATTTACCACAGTGTGCTTAATTTTTTATTTTTCTTACTTAGGCACAGTAAAACCCTTCTAAAATGGAAAAAAGCATGTAAGAGGGGAATATAGGTATAGATATATTTAATAAGAGCATGATTTAAAATACTGTTTATTATTTACTGAGTTGAATACTGAAATACATATAGTGTAAATATGTTACCAGCTAAAGTACTTTTGGAAGAGATTTTTAAGTTTTCTTTTTCCTTTTTTTTTTTTTTTTTTCCTTTTCTGTCTTTCAGGGCATGTTTTAAGAAATTGCCTCGCATTCTGAGTTTTAATACTATGAGGTATACATTTAATATGGTGACAATGATGAAAGAGAAAGTGAACACACACTTTTCCTTCCCATTACGCTTGGATATGACGCCCTATACAGAAGATTTTCTAATGGGAAAGAGTGATAGGAAAGAAGGTAATTTTTGATCTCTTTCTCTTGCCTATGTTTACTGTAAGTCTCCGTAACAAGACAGCCATAACTATAAAGTTGTAACCAACTTCACATTTAATAAAATGAAATTGAATTTTGGAAAGGGGATTGTATTTAAATACAGTATGGTACGTTCAGTCAGTTCGTCAATAGATATTTGGCATTTATTAGAACTATGTTCTAGGCACTCTGCTAGGCATTAGTGACATGGCAGTGAACAAGATACACATGGTTCCTTATCTCATAGAACTTAAGTCTAGTAGGCAAATCTTATTGAGCAAGAAATTATAAACAGGATGTGTCATCAGATAGGATGGTGAGTGTATCTCAAATCTAGGGGTATCAGGGAGGGCTTTCATGAAGGTAACATTGAAGCAGAGTTTGAATAAGGAATAGATTGAGAGGAATGGCTAATGTCTTTAGGTGGGTAAGAGGTGGGGGTGGAGTTGATGAGATGGGCAAAAGGCAATGGCCACATCATTTTGTTTGTAAGCCATGTTAATAATTGTAATCTTTGTTTGATGTGAAACCTTTGGAAGATTTTAAGCAGGGAACTGAAATAACCAGGTGGGATCTGGGAAAGGTTATTCTGACTATAGCAATAGAAATGGATTAGAGGATGATGAAAGGGATGTGGGGGAGGGCCATTCTGATAAACCACAGAGAAGATGGTAGTTTAATGAGCAAGGATACCAGTAGATTTGGAGAGAGGTGTGTGGAGGGTTAATAGGATTTGATGATTGTATGTATAAATGAATCCAATGAAGTTATTGAATGTCTATCTATAATTTGCTATTCTCATAGTAGTGGGAATAGAGTGGCAACAAAGAACAAGGTCTTTGTCCCTTTGAAGTTGACTTTTTAGTCTACTACTAGAGGGAGGAAGAAAAGTCAGGAATGACTCAGGTTTGTGGCTTGATCATAGCTGAATAGTGGGTCAGTATTTCAAGAAGATCTCAAGAAAAAGGGAATTTGGTCAGAAGTATTGAATGCTAAAGAAAAGGAATTGTTTCAGAAATAACATGACTGAAAACAGCATGTAGAATGTCTTTGGTTATCTTTATCAGAGCAGTTTCATTTGGGTATTGCAGTAGAAAGGCAGATTGTAGTGATTTAAAGATGACCCTTGGTTCATATCCAATTACCTCCAAATTCTTATTACTTCATAAGACCAGTGCTTTTCAAACTTATGTATATGTGCCTCAAAGACCACAGAGGTGAGGAATGGAAACAGGTGAGCAAAAAAAGCACAACAGGTCTAGCTCTTGCCTTTCTGTTCTTTAGTTAGAGAAGTTCGGTTCTGGCAATGTTTTCTTTATATAATAAGTTCTCATTAAAATTTTTTTTTTTAAAGTATTTATTTATTTGAGAGAGAGAGAATGAGAGAGAGCACATGAGAGAGGGGAGGGTCAGAGGGAGAAGCAGACTCCCTGCCAAGCAGGGAGCCCGATGCGGGACTCGATCCAGGGAGTCCAGGATCATGACCTGAGCCGAAGGCAGTCGCTTAACCAACTGAGCCACCCAGGTGCCCCCTCATTAAAATTTTTAAGGTTTGAATAAACCGCTATATTTTAAGATTTGGGAAAGAGAACTGCATTTTAATCTTTATATTCCATTGCCTGGCACTTAATGAGCATCCAGTAAATGTTTCACTAAATGGGAGTTGAGAAGTGTAAACAGTGAGTGTGGGCTATTCTTTTAAGAGAAGAACGTACTCTTTCTTTGAAAAGAGGAGAGAAGATGGTGACTGTTCCTATAGAGGAATAGAGTTAAGGGGGGTATTTTTTACCCTCAGGATTTTTTTTTTTTTTTTAAGATTTTATTTATTTATTTGACAGTGAGAGAACACAACCAGGGGGGAGCAGCAGAGGGAGAGGGAAAAGCAGACTCCCTGCTGAGCAGGGAGCCTGATGCAGGGCTCGATCCCAGGACCTGAGTCGAAGGCAGATGCTTAACCGACTGAGCCACCCAGGCGCCCCTACCCTTAGAATTTTTTTTTTTTTTAAGATTTTATTTATTTATTTGTCAGCGCACGAGCAGGCAGAGCAGACAGAGAGAGAAGCAGGCTGCTGATGCGGGACTCGATCCCAGGACCCTGGGATCATGATGACTTGAACCGAAGGCACACACTTACCCAACTGAGCCACCCAGGCATACCTACCCTTAGAATTTGAGTATGTTTAGAGGTTGCAGCAAATGAGCCAGTGGAAGATAACTTTGAAAATATAGGCAAAGTTAAGAAGTAGGCAGTGTATATATACACCTTTCTTTTTAGAACTCTTTACAAACCATTTATAAAATTATAGTAAGACTGCCCAGTTATTGTGCTTTCTGGTATTTTTCATGATGCTTCCTTGTGTAGAAGTAGCAGAAATTTGTGCCAAGATGAAAGATTTTTTTTAGGCCGTAACTGATGCATTCAGAGTCAGATCCTAGCACATCCAAACTTCTCAGTCACTATTAAGACACTGTTAGCCATTTCCTTCTCTCCTCAGTTGTCACTTTCCAGTTAAGACTGTGCACTCAAGTTAACCTAATCTGTTTTCACTTGTTTCTGATTATACTTTTTCCTTTATATATGATGTTGGGTATACAGATCATAAGTCATAAATCTTCAAACTTACTAGATCATTCTGTAATTTTTCCTTAGTATCTTTTATGCCTTTCACATCTTTGGGGACAGGAAGGATGTCTGTTTATTTTGTTTCTGTCTCCTAATACAGAATGTTTTCTATTAACTAATAAACAATTGCCAGCATGCTACCACTACAGTGCTCCTTTTTCTTAATCTGAGATTAAAGGGCATGAGTATCTTAATGCCTTTCCATATCTTGGGTTTGCCTGCTCCTAGCTTGAATGAAAAATGCTGTACTATCTATTTCAAAAGGAATAAGATTAAACAGAAAGAACATATTTTATATTTATATATTATACTGATGTTGTCCATACTTACGGTTGTTTTTCCAAATGATTTGTATAAATGTTCCTTAAAATTGTAGACTATGGATGGGGAATGACTAGCAAATGGAGTTGTTTTGTACCTATTATATAATGTATCTGTGCCTATTTCTGTATATTAAATATATTATGGAAAGTGATTCAAAGATGTTAATGTGCAGTTTTCAACATTATTACCATTATTTTATGTAAATCATTTCAGGTTTTAAGGAAGTCAGTGATCATTCAAAAGACACAGAAAGCTATGAGTATGACTTAATAGGAGTGACTGTTCACACAGGAACAGCAGATGGTGGGCACTATTATAGCTTCATCAGAGATATAGTCAATCCACATGCTTATAAAAACAACAAATGGTGAGTTTTAAGTATTTTATTCTTGGGATTAAAAAAATTTTTTTTCTTTTTTTAAAGTATAAACTTACTGTTTTTGCTTCAGATATGTTTTCTGATTTTATTTTTTTAAAAACTCTATAAAATCAGGAAAAGGGGCAGTTTTTAAATGAAAGCAACTTTCATAAGACAGTAGGAATTGATTGTTCTTAACCTTCTTCTGAGAATTTGATGAATGTTCTCTTAAGAAAAAACACACAAGCTTTTGCACACAACTTTAGATTTATAGACAATATTGCACCTTCCAAATCTTTTCTATCTTTGTTTACTCATTCAAGAGCTGTTTACTGAGTGTCTCCTATAGGGTGGTTACGAAGTCCTTATATAAGGCAATTTGAAGTTACCTGCATGCTCCACTCTCTCCACCTTACTTTTCCAAACCTTCCAACCCGCGCATTCTTTTTATCATCTTTTATCAAGGTAATGGATAGAAGTCATTAAATCAATACTTAATAGCTCTTTTTTGGTCTTCAGATGTTGTTAGGTGGAGTCTCATGTATAGAGGCTATGTATCTACGGTAGGCATTGTTATAAGTGTTAGGGATATTTCTTTGAACAAAATGTACATTGATCTGCAGTTAGCAGAATAGTTTTGTTGAACTCTTCAAGCCAACATGTCAGTGGTATCTTAACCTTGTTTGTCCATTTGAAATTAATTCCATAAATATATTTTGAATCTTTTTTTATCATAAATTTTTTGAAATGACATCTTTATCTTTGGAAGTTCTCCCATCTCTTAATCTTTTCTGTCCAATAGCTGCACAAGTAATATTTATGCAAACTTTTTCTTTGTTTTTATGAATTCTTCTGTTACTCCTAGTTTATAAATGGATTTATCAGATTTTAGGGCAGTTATAATTTGTAAAATTATATTCCCAGTTTCTAGTAGGTTAGTGTTATCAAAATAAGAACTTAGAATTTATTTACCTCATATTAAAAATAGTTTAAGTTTTATAATTTTTTCAGTATGTATTTTTATAATAAGCGGAATACTCAGTATGTATATAAACACTATATGCTCTGTTTTAGGTATCTTTTTAATGATGCTGAGGTAAAACCTTTTGATTCTGCTCAGTTGGCCTCTGAATGTTTTGGTGGAGAGATGACAGTAAGTTTTATTCAGAAGTTATAAATGGTCCATGACTTTCCAGGTGCTATGCAGTATCATAAAATCCAGTAGCAAAACCACTTAACTCCCTTTTAATTGCTATGATTAAATCTAAAATTTATTCAGTTGTTATTTATTAGAAGTCTAGTCTATTCAGCATGTATACCAGACTGGGAAATACTTTTTTTTAAGATTTTATTTATTTATTTGAGAGGGAAAGAGAGTGAGGGAGAGCATGAGAGCTTCAGAGGGAGAAGCAGACTCCCTGCCGAGCAGGGAGCCTGATGCCGGGCTCGATCCGGGGACCCTGGGATCATGACCTGAGCTGAAGGCAGACGCTTAACTGACTGAGCCACACAGGCGCCCCTGGGAAATACTTTTTAAATTACAATTTCTGCCTTCAACTGATAAAGAAGGTTAAGACTTAAAATTGAAAAATTAAATAGTAGTATAGGAATTGAATTGCATTGCCATGAAACATGATGGAAGAAGTTGTCCACTTGAATGCTTTGAGATTCGAGCAAAAAGAAATTACTCTTTATTGACTTCATACAAAAAAATCTTTATCAAGGAAATTAGCTTGAGCTAAACTTCAAAGAATTATTCTTTCAGTGCCTTTTTTGTAACAACAGGAGCAACCTGGTTATTACTATTGACAGGATACACAAAGAATATCTTAACCTGTTATGTAATTAGCCCTAAGACATGAAAAAAGACAATTAGGTTGGAGTAGTATTATTATAATAACATAACTTTTTTTTTTTTAATTTTATTTATTTGACAGAGACACAGCAAGAGAGGGAACACAAGCAGGAGGAATGGGGGAGGGAGGAGCAGGCTTCCCGCTGAGCAGGGAGCCTGATGCAGGGCTCGATCCTAGGACCCCGGGACCATGACCTGAGCCGAAGGCAGACGTTTAATGACTGAGCCACCTAGGCACCCCTATAATAACATAATTATAATAATTGTATTTCATAGGCATTTTATCCAAGTACTGATGTTCTGAAAACAGTTTTAAAATACTGTTTTGATTCTCATAAGTAAAGCATTAGTCATTTCCATGTCACAGGTAAGCCCAAATGAAGTTATTTTTCACTTTAATAGCCATGTCTGTAGTGAAATCACTGTTCACATTGTGGATTTTAATGAAGGACTTCCTTATTGCTCTTTGGTGCTCTTATGTACCACTTTGAATAGAAAAGGAGAAGTAGGCAAATTGCTAACACTTCAGAAATGGGTAGAAGAAGGAAGTAATAAGTTACTGATGCCATAATAAACCTATTGCATCTCTAGATGTTATTCCTGGGATATTTCCTCAAACAAAAAGTAAAGTTTTCAAAGCTCTTCTCTTAAAAGGTAGTTCTTCAATTGCAAGTACGTTTTATTTTGCTTTATATATTTTATGGTAAAGTATCTTTAAAAATATTTTGAATCTTTGTTTTCAGTTACAGTTGACCCTTGAACAATGTGGGAGTTAAATATGCCAGGCCCCCACACAGTCAAAAATCCAAGTATAACTTTTGTCTCTTGATCAGAAGCCTGATAACATGAATACTCAATCAATACATATTTTGTATGTTACACTTCCTATATACTGTATTCTTACAAAAAAAGTAAACTAGAAAAAAGAAAATGTTACTGAGAAGATCATAAGGAGAGGCGCCTGGGTGGCACAGTCGGTTGGGCATCTGACTCTTGATTTTGGCTCAGGTCGTGATCTCACGGTTGTGAGATCAGGCCCCATGTCATTGGGCTCTGTGCTCGTAGGGGAGTGTGCTTGAGATTCTGTCCCTCTCCCTCTCCAACCCCACTCATGCTCTCTCTCTCTAAAATAAATAAATCTTTTAAAATCATAAGGAAAATACATTTACAGTATGCTGTTGTAATTATTGGGGAAAAAAATCTGCCTTTAAGTGAATCTGTGTAGTTCAAACCTGTGTTATTCAAGGGTCAACTATACTCTTAGCCAAGAACTTCTGTCAATGATTTTTTTTATAAAGAATAAACTAGCTGTTTATGAAATATTTTATGTATAAATACAACTGAGATAAATATAAATATATTTTTTAAAGAAGGAAAACTTTTATTTTTTTAAACAGACCAAGACCTATGATTCTGTTACAGATAAATTTATGGATTTCTCCTTCGAAAAGGTAATCATTTTTTTCATATATAATTTACATTGTTTTCTTTCTTCCATGTTACCTAATTTTATAGTTATACTTTGTCAAAATGAAAATATACCTTTTTTTCTTTGCCTCTTAAAGACACACAGTGCATATATGCTGTTTTACAAACGCATGGAACCAGAGGAAGAAAATGGCAAAGAATTCAAATTTGATGTTTCGTCAGAGTTACTAGAGGTATAAGTTAATTTAACTTCAGCAATTTAAAAACATGTTAAGTATTAATGCAAGTAATAGGACTACTGGAGCAGGCTATAGCAACATTAGGATTTATAATCCCGGGTAGACCTTAACACTACTTATAAATGGTCTTGGTAATACTGACATAGGGCAGGTGCATGTAAAGTGAGAAAATAATTATTAGTAAGATTAAAGAAAAATAAGTAACATGGTTGATGGAATTGGAGCAAGCTCATTAAGTAACTTGTATGTATGGTAATGTTCTTGGATTGGGTGATGGATGTTCCTTCTTTGCTTCATGTTACATAGAAATGTACCATGTATTTGAAATGCATTTAAAATATGTATTAAATATTTCAAAATGTGTCTTGTTTATAGTAATTAGGCTTTCTTTGTTTCATGATGTAGTAAGTGATAATGTTACTTTAATGTGTTAAGAACTATAAAATGTATTCACAACTCAGTGTGTGTTGTATCAGTGTTATAAACTGAGCCAAAATGTAAATCTTCAGAAAGGTATACCTGATAAAAATTTACTCTTTCATCTAGACAGTTCAGCTTTTACTATCTAATTGATTGATATTTGCACTGTCGTCGTCGAGTCTTAAAACTGAGTGGATTTTGGTCCCCCAAAAAATACTCTTAACTGGTATCTTGACTCCCTAGAATGTTACTGATAAAATATAAAATTTTTTAAAATTTGTTTTAATTTATTTAAAAATAACAAAATTAAGCCCATGACATGCTAATATAATATTTTTTATATCATTTTATGAAAAAAATTTTCAGAACAAAACCATTCAGGAGAAAAGTGGCCGTTTTATATGCTTGCAAATCTTTTTAATATCTGATTTAATAGATGACAGCTGGAGTCTCATAATTTTTGCATTTGCTCTGTTGTGATTTCATTCATTATTTAGCCTCCATTGTTGCTCAGGAGAGATGAGAGTAAAAACGGGCAAATAGCCTCATCCTATTACTAAGGAAATGGTTTTGATATTATATATACCCTAAAATGGTCATAGGTATCCCCCACAGGTCTCTGAACCATTCTTTCAGAACCACTGATTTATATGTGACAAAAGGGAATCCTGGATATTTGCTCTACTACAACAAGAAAAACACATTGTACTACATTAGAATATTCTTTTTTGTTTGTTTTAAAGAAGGTATTTATTTATTTGTCAGAGAGAGTGCAGAAGCAGGGGGAGCGGCAGGGAGAGGGAGAAGCAGGCACCCTGCTGAGCAAGGAGCCTGATGTGGGGCTCGATCCCAGGACCCTGGGATCATGACCTGAGCTGAAGGCAGATGCTTAACCTACTGAGCCACCCAAGCGTCCCTAGAATATTCTTGATTGCAGACCTAAACCAACTGTTTTTTTTCCTATCATTGTTTTAGCTTATTAATTGAAAAATTAATTGCATATACATTTTACTAAAAATACTGAAGTATGATAATACTGTTATTTAATATTAACATGGATTTTAGGTATAAACTGGAATTTGGTCCTTTAGATTTGTACAGTTAAAATATAGCTAGTAGCAGACTTTCCCAAAGAGTAAATAGGAAATTTAGAACCATAAAATTATTTTTAAAGATTTTATTTATTGATTGATTTTAGAGAGGTGGGGGCAGATGGAGACGGAGAGAGAATCGCAAGTAGACTGCCCGCTGAGCACGCCCCACTCAGGGCTTGATCTCCCGACCACAAGATTATGACCCGAGCCGAAATCAAGAGTTGCACGCTTAACCCACTGAGCCACCCATGCATCCCAGAACCATAAAATTTATTAAGTAAACAAACATTATAAATTGTAATGACTGTTGTGGATAAAACAAAATGCTCAGAAAGGGTAGTTGATTGGAATTTCTGGGGAAAGTGATTAGGAAATACTTCAGATTAAGCTCAAACTAAAACATGAAAGTTAGTGAAGACTTAATCATGTGAAGAATACTCCAGGCAAAGAGAGTATTATGTACAACTTCCTTTAGTAAAGACATAGCGTATTGGCATGTTTTAGAAGCTGAAAGATGACCTCTGAGGCTGTGATTAGTAAGTGCAAAGATACGTAGCCCAAAATGAAGTTGAAGAGGTATATAGAGAATGCCTGTAGTGCAGTAATTTCACACTTAGACACACCCACATGGCTCCACATATGTTGTATTGATAAAATGTAAAAAGGATTGTCAAAAAACAAGATGAATATAAGAAATAAAAACAATGAGTCTGGTGGGAACCACAGGACTACCATACCAGGCTTTAGGCCCAAATCAGACAATTGTGGTGGAGAGTTCTTGAGAGGTAAAGGGGATAAAAATTATGACACACATCTGGAGCTGAGCTCATGGCTAGAAGTAAGAAGCTTGGAATGGAGCTTCATTGCTATGAAAAAGCTCTGATGGGTGAAGGCTCTCAAACCCTTCTTGAGGCTACAGCTTTGTAGAAGGCAGTGTGCATAGAAATGCTAGAGGACCAAGAACTCTGAAGCAGTCTGTTGAGTGACTAGGTCTGTACCAATGTGGAGCAGGAACCCTAAAACATGATTATAAGACCTGGTACTGGGCTGGAGTAGTGGGCTGGGAGGCAAGGAGAGTTAGTTGAAAATCTTTAGGAGGAATAAACACAGGCAGTAATATCAATAATCAACATAAATTCATTCCAGATAAAAATAATTTTATGGAACGAATACTAAGAGCATGTTTAGGGTACAGAGAGCTAAAAGAACACAAAAACTAAAGTCAGCAGAGCAGTTATATAAGGCTCATGTTAGAAATAATCATTGTTGGGGTTCCTGGGTGGCTCAGTCATTAAGCGTCTGCCTTTGGCTCAGGTCATGATCCCAGGATTCTGGGATTGAGCCCTGCGTTGGGCTCCCTGCTCAGCGGGAAGCCTGCTTCTCCCTCTCCCACTCCCCCTGTTTATGTCCTTCTCTTGCTGTGTCTTGTCTCTGTCAAATAAATAAAATCTTTAAAAAAAAAAAGAAATAATGATTTTGTTCATAATTGTTACAGAATAAACAAGGAGGGGTGCCTCAGTCGGTTTAGCATCTGCCTTCGGCTCAGGTCATGATCCTGGAGTCCCAGGATCACGCCCCGCATCAGGCTCCCCACTCATCGGGGAGTCTGCTTCTTCCTCTGACCCTCTCTCCCTCATGCTCTCTCTCACCTTCTCTCAAATAAATAAAATCTTTAAAAAAATAAATAAAAAGGAAATCACCTTAGGTCTGCCAATCTGAATTGTTTTTATTTTGCCAGTTTTTGAACATAAACCTTTCTCATAACCTGTTTTTATCAACATGGAACACAACATAATTTTATTCATTTATATATTTGCTCTTTAGACAGATGGGATTTCAGAGTTCTTTCAAAATCTTTATAATTGTATTTTTAAAGAACTGTGATTGTTTGAGGTAGCCAGATACAAAATGATAAATTGGAGCAGGCTTAGTAACTATTTTCATATTCCACATACCTGAAAAAAAATCAACATGAATTTTAAGTGCCTGTATTTTTTGTTTTTTTGTTTCTTTTAGAGCAGATCTTTTTTGTCTTAAAAAAAATACTGGTAAAATGTAATTAAGCAAATGCTTTTGATATCTCATGTTACCATTTTCTTTTTCTTCAGTGGATTTGGCATGATAACATGCAGTTTCTTCAAGACAAAAACATTTTTGAACATACATATTTTGGGTAAGTTTGGTAAACTTAGATTTTTTGTTACACATTTAAAACAAACCTTATTCTGTAAGAAATGTAACTTATTATTTTTAAATTCTAGGTTTATGTGGCAGTTATGTAGTTGTATTCCCAGTACATTACCAGATCCTAAAGCTGTGTCCCTAATGACAGCAAAGGTAATATATAAGCCTTAGATAATTTTTTTCAAAATCGACTACTTTAAAATAATTAAAAATTTTTTGCTTAATGTTTTCTTACAGTTAAGCACCTCCTTTGTCCTAGAGACGTTTATACATTCAAAAGAAAAGGTATGTGTTTTGTAGATTTTTATGTCATTTATCAGATAGCTTTTGGTTTTCTTTATCTTCAGCTCAGAAGTCCATGCCTTAAATGACTTCTTTCTTTTTTTTTTTTAGCCCACAATGCTTCAGTGGATTGAACTGTTGACCAAACAATTTAATAATAGTCAAGCAGCTTGTGAGGTGAGGTGAAATAATTCAACAAATAATGCATAGCTTAAGATGCAGTTTTTTGTTTTATTTTCTTTTATTCTTAGATGTTACAGCAAAATTACTGTATTATAAATTATAGGGATCCCAGTGTAAATTGTTACCCAAAATACTTAACAGCCAAAAAGGTTATAATTTATGTCATATCCATTACACTGATGAAATAATTGATTTTTAAGTTACTTAAGTCCTTGGGTGCCTCCCCCCAATCTGTTAGAAGGAAAAATATAGAAAGTTCAAAAGACTGTATCAGATATTTCTTAACTAATTTTGAATGTTACCAGAAAATACTTGAAAATGGATATCTTCCAACTCCAAGATAAAAATGCATATATCCCAGTATATCAGTTTATGTCCAGTTTTATCTTCTATATTATGTTCTAATACATCCCTATAATAATTTATCCCTAAGGATAATCTGCTCACAGGTAATGGTCACTTAACCCCTGTTGCCACCCTAACATCATTTTATCATTTCTTGATTAGCTTCCAAAGTGTGGTATAAGCCTTTCTAAAAATGCAAATCTTAAAAGTTTCCAGAGGTGGGAGATAACATAGTGTGCAGTAGATGAAGTTAGTTGAAGATTTTTTTTTCTTACACAGAATGTTATCTGATTATGCCTTGGAGCAATGGAATTAGAGAATCTGATTATTGTAGATTTCAAACACAAGGCTATAATTTTTTAAAACTTTGTAATGAACATTTCAAAACAAGCATTAAAGTAGGAAGATAAGGAACTCTCAGGTACCTATCACCCAATTTCAACAAACAGTAACATTGTTTTGTCTTAATCTGTTGCTGTCCCCCATGCCTGTTTTCAGCAAACCCAAATAGCATATCATACATCCATAAATACTGAATATGTCTCTAATAAATGAGAACTTTTAAAATATATATATATGAAACCATGATTTTAAAAGGTTATAATTTATGTCATTGTAAAATTAGAAGTGGTTCCTTAATATCCACTACTCATTCTGTGTTCACTTTTCTCTAATTGCCTAAAAAATATTTTTTTCAGTTGGCTTCTTTGAATTAGTATTCAAACAAGGACCACATTTTGCTTTTCTCTTGTAAATCAACTTTCATCTATAACAGTTACTTTTTTTCCTCTCTTTGCTACTTTGTCATTTGGTCTGCAGAATTCTCCACATGATTGCTTTGACTGATTATATCCTCCTGGTGTTAGTTAACAAGTTCCTCTATTCCCCTCCCCCTTTGTGATTTTTTTAAAGCTGTTTGATAGATCCAGAATATTGATTAGGTTAACATTTGTTTTTTGTTTGCTTTTGTTTATAAAGTTGCCACTTCAGTTTTTGTTTGTTTGTTTTTACTAAGGAATGGCCTCCAGAACTCTCTCAAGGAGTTAAAATTCTCTACAGTTGTCAGTAATTATGTATATGCACATAGACAGTAAAATTCAGTATAGGAGTTAAATATGTGATTAAGAGATATCTTGAAATCAATAGGAAATTGTTTTAGCATAAAGAAGGGTGTTTTTGGGGGCACCTGGGTGGCTTAGTGGGTTAAGCATCTGACTCTTGATTTCAGCTCAGGTCTTGATGTCATGGTTGTGAGACAGAGCCCTGGCATCAGGCTCTGCACTGGGTGTGGAGCCTGCTTAAGATTCTTGCTCTCCCTCCTGCCTCTCTCCCATTGTTCTCTCTCTCTCAAAAAAAAAATGGGGGGAGGTATGCTTTGTGTTACCAAGAGAGCATAATTTCTTTATAAACAGAAAATAAGTCATACTCAGATCATATATTAATAGAAACAAAAGGTTCTGCAGTGTAGTATCTATGAGGACTAAGAGGAAAATAGTATTCCATTTTATAATGTTAATGCAGTGCAGGTTGCCATCATGCAAGTTTACACTGTGATGTAAATGGCGTTCATGGAATTCTGTAATGGGATGACCCTGATTATGACTTCAGGCATTTTAGAGTTTCATACCTTTTTTTTTTTTTTTTAAACTTTAGAGAGAGAGCATGTGCATGAGCAGGGGGAGGGACAGAGGGAAAGAGAGAATCTAAAGCAGACTCCCCACTGAGCGTGGAGCCCAACATGGGGCTCTATCCCATGACCCTGAGATCATGACCTGAGCCAAAAGCAAGAGTTGAATGCTTAACCAACTGAGCCACCCAGGCACCCCTAGAGTTTTAGACTTTCTAACAATGGAAGAATCTGTTTTGGTAAGAACTTAAAATAATTCAAACACAGACTAGAAGTAAAATCCTTGTGTGATTATTTTTTTTTAATCCAACAAGTATTGGTTGAAGGTTAATATCACACTATTTTTTTACAGTGGTTTTTGGACCGTATGGCTGATGATGACTGGTGGCCAATGCAGATACTAATTAAGTGCCCTAATCAGATTGTGAGACAGGTAAGAAAATACTTATTTGAAAAAGAAAGTGGCTTTCAAGTTAATAATTCTAAATTTGCCTGTGAATGTATTTTAACCCAGCATTGAAGGTAGTTTTGAAAAGATCGACCTGTTACCGTAAGAATCACTTTGCCATCATTTCATCAGCTTCTTCTAGCAAATCAACTATCTTTCCAAGCAAGTAATTAAAATTGTTAACATTTCCTGGTTATAGGAAGATAGCTACCAGTGCCTATTCTTTCAGATCCTGTTATCTCTGCTTTATGAGTTGTACTGATTCTTTTTCAGAATCTTAGATATTCTAACCATGGTAGGGTACTCTGATGGCGTTGAAAGTTGAATGAACAGTATATAACATTTCTGTGAAAGATTCTGAATTGTCACATGAATCAATTTGTTTCCCTTAAATCACTGAAAAAATTAGACAAGAAAAATATGAACATTATTTTATATTCACTTAGGACACAGAACCAAAAATTTAATCTGAAAAGACCACTTTTCAGTTATTACTGAGATATAACCCATACACCATAATAACTCATCAAAACCATACAGAGTGTAAAATTTAGTGGTTTTTAGTATATCCCCAAACTAATTTTATAACACTGTTAAGAGAAATGCCATACCTATTAACAGTCACTCCCAATTTTATCCTGTCCCTTCTTTCCAGCCACTAATGGCAGCCACTAATCTACTTTTTGTCTCTATGGAAGGGCACCTAGATGACTCAGTTCGTTAAGCATCTGCCTTCGGCTCAAGTCATGATCCCAGGGTCCTGGAATCAAGTTCCCTGCTTAGCGGGGAGTCTGCTTGTCCTGAGAGCTTGGGCTCTCTCTCACTTGCTCTCTCTCAAAAAAATTAAAGCTTTTTGAAAAATGATAAATGGAGTCACACGGTGTGTGATCTTTTGTGATCGGCTTCGTTGAGCAGTATTTTCATGGTTTTCCATGTTGTAGTATGTATCTGTTCTTTCTTTTTATTGCTAAAATAAATTCCATTGAATGGATATAGCAAATGTTGTTTATCCATTAAGCAGTCGATAAACATTTGGGATGTTTTCACTTTTTGGCTATTTTGAATAATGCTGCTATGAACATTTGTGCACAAATACTTGTGTGGGCATATGTTTTCTGTTCTTTTTGTTATTTTACCTAGGAGTAGAAGTCCTGAGTCATACAGTCACTCCAGGTTTAACATTTTAGGAACACCAAACTTTTTCATGGCATCTCCACCAGTTTACATCCTCACCAGCAATCTGTGAGGGTTCCTATTTTCACTACATCTTCGTTAGCATTTGTTACTGTGTTTTTGATTTTAGCTATGCTAATGAATGTGAAGTAGTATGTCATTGTGGTTTTGGTTTGCATTTCCCTAATAACTAATGATGGTGAACATCTTTCATTTGCTTACTGGCCATTTGTGTATCTTACTTAGAGAATCCCCAACCCTTTTTAATCCATGTTTCTTTCAGATAAACTTAAATCCTATTTCCTTCTCCAAGTCATTGATTTCTGGCAAAAGATAATCTGTGAAATGGGTGGCAGAGAATTTTGAAACATGTTAATTTTTCAGTATCTTTGTTACCTTTGTTCAGGCTCTTAGGTTGTTTTAACTTTTCATTTACAGATGTTTCAGCGTTTATGTATCCATGTGATTCAGAGACTCAGACCTGTGCATGCTCATCTTTATCTACAGCCAGGAATGGAAGACGGGTAAGAAATAACTTTTGAGCATTTTAAGCTTTTTAATGAGCTGCCTAGAGTATTTCAGATACCCACATTGAAATATTTAGGTTCAGGGCACCTGGGTGGCTTGGTTAAGCAGCTGCCTTCCACTCAGGTCATGATCCCAAGGTCCTGGGATCAAGCCCTGCGTCAGGCTCCTTGCTCAGCGGGGAGTCTGCTTCTCCCTCACCCTCTGCCCTCCTGCCCCGCTCGTGCTCGCTCTCAAATAAATAAACTTAAAAAAAAAAAATATTTAGGTTCTTTTATTTAAAAATCTGTAATAATACAAGTCAAGAAGAGAAAATAGTATTGTTTTATTTTTAATTAAGTACATCTTCAAAATCCTCTACAAATAACTTCATGACTTAGTCTTTTTGTTTGGATTGATTTAGCCAGACACCATAATTGGAATCCACCTACTTATTGCAGTTGGTATTCACTATTACAAAGATGAAAGAGCTAAATTTAGGTTTTTAAAAATATTTCTCCTCCCAGAATATCTATCCCCAGACTTTATACTATCTCTAAGATACATTAAATTGTGTCTTCAGGTCGGATGATATGGATGCCTCAGTAGAAGATATTGGTGGTCGTTCATGTGTCACTCGATTTGTGAGAACTCTGTTATTAATTATGGAACATGGTGTAAAACCTCACAGTAAACATCTTACAGAGTATTTTGCCTTCCTTTATGAATTTGCCAAAATGGGTGAAGAAGAGGTAAGGCTGTATCTTGTTTATTTCTGGGATTATGTACCTATTTTCAGTATTTAAAACTTGTTTTTATTTTGTATTTTTAAATCAATGTTTTTATTTTTAGAGCCAGTTTTTGCTTTCATTGCAAGCCATATCTACAATGGTACATTTTTACATGGGAACCAAAGGGCCTGAAAATGTAAGTACAGTTCTTTCTCATATTGGGGATTTAGGGGGCCATGTTTTCAAGTTTATATCATGGAAGGTCATTAGATATTAGAATGCTTTGAAGTCCCTTCTAGCCCTGAGATTGGATAATTTTAAGGGTCTGAGTTTGGTTGGTATTTTTAATGGGTATAGCAAGAGAAGAAATAATCAAATGATATAAATATCACTGGCAAGGCCCTGGAACAAAGCAAATGAATTTAGGCAAAATGGCCACCATCTACTTAGGGGTCATATCAGTAGCATGTTGTTTCAGTGAACATTTTTGTTGGCCATATTTTTAAACCCTTGTTTTTGAGTTTCTCAGAGTCTTCCAAAAATTTAAGTAGCTTCGTCTATTCATAATATTAACGCATAACAGGAACTTTGTGTTGTCTATAATGACCACATTGGCTTATGCTCCATTTATACTATCTTATTTAACCCTATTGCAACCTTAAGATGTAAGTACTATTGTTACCTCCATTTTACAGATCAGGAACTTGAGGCATAAAGAAGTTAACTTGTTTTAGATCACAGTGAGTTGGGTTTTGATCTTTGGTCAGATTCCTGAGCTAAGCTGTTAACCGTTACACTGTAATGGTTCTCCGAATATGCACTTTTAATGTCTCATTCCTGCCTATATGGCTACCTCTTTAGACTGCTTTTCTTTTGCTTTGTTACATCATAAAATCATTTCAGTCTCTTGAATTTCAAAGCAATGGAAGTCTTTGGAAGACTTGCTATTTGGATTATCTGAACACCGGAAATTAAGGATTCTTTAATTTTTGTAACTGGCATTTTTATTAAATAGAAAATACTGTTTTATCATACTCAGATAAAATTTAATCCTGATTTATCTTCCAAAGGGCTTGCCTATAAGAAGAAAGAAATTATTAAAAGATTTATCCCTGTAAGTGAGGTGTAAATAGTTACAGTATTGAGACTCATTGTTCTTTACAGTTCTGCCTGCTATGTCTAAAATTACCCTGAATGTTGTTTAACTTTAAAAGTCAGGGTTAGGCCTTTGAGTGTTTCTTTATGATATATGCTCCTGCCACCATCTACCCTGGGTAGTTCTATAAAACAGTCAAGTTACTTTGTCTCAAGATAATTCAGTTTTACTGTATTAGTTTTAACATTTTGTTCTAGCCTCAAGTTGAAGTGTTGTCAGAGGAAGAGGGGGAAGAAGAGGAGGAGGAAGAAGATATTCTTTCTCTGGCAGAAGAAAAATACAGGCCGGCTGCCCTGGAAAAAATGATAGCTTTAGTTGCTCTGTTGGTTGAACAGTCTCGCTCAGAAAGGTGAAATGTTTCAACATTCAAAATGGTTAAAGCATGTTTGATTTTACTCCTTTTACCAAATTGTTTTACACTGACTTTTGTTACATAATTCCTTTTAAATAATACCACTATTTACAACTCTTGTGGCATAAGTATTTCAGTCCTTTGTATCAGATGACTTTGTACCTCTGAGTCATGTTAGAAATATACGTTGAAGAAATATACAGTAAAATATTTAGCAAAATTATATGTGCATTCATCCTTTAACCTGGCAACGCTATTTCTAGAAATCTGTTCCCCAAACACAGAAAGATGTATATGTAAGGATATTTATTGAAGCATTTAGTTTATAATAGTAAAAGACTGAAAATATTTAAAAAGAGGGGATTAATTGAAAAAAGCAGGCATCCATTCAATAGAATACTCTATTGCTCAAAAAAAGAAGTATGGAATGTATCTATACTTCCATGGAGAGAGCTTTAGGATACATATTACCAAGTAAAAAAAGCAGGTTGGATAAAAGTGTATATAGTATGGTACCTTTTGAGGAAGGGGAGGTTAGGGCGGTGGGGGGGTGTAGAGATTGAGAGCATATATACTCAGTTTTCATTATTCCTCATTATGGATCTACTGTTTGCAAATTTGCTTACTTGCTGGGATTTATTGCAATCCCCAAATCAGTACTATGGCTCTTTTACCGTCATTTGTGGACTGCAGGTGTCCATATGCAGAGTGGCAAAAAATTTGAGTTACCTGACACATACCTTCCTTCCCAGCCAAGGTCAAACAGGGTGACTCTGACTTCTTGTTTCACTTCTCATATTGTAAACAAATGTCCTTTTCATCGTTTATGCCATGTTTTTCACGTTCGTGCTTTTTGTTGGTGACTTGGTGTTTAAAATTGCCCCCAAGTATAGTGCTGAGTGCTATCTATAGAGATCTGAGCTCAAGAAGGCCATAATGTGCCTTAACAAGAAAAAGCACATTAGATAAGCTTCATTCAGGTATGAGTTAATAATATTATTTGCTGTGACTTCAGTGCTAATGAATGAACAATATATATTAAATAAGGTATCTTTAAACAGAAACACACACAAAACAAGGTAATCTATTGATTGGTTGAAGAGAATGTGACCAGAGGCTCACAAGAACCTAACCCTGTATTTCTCTTATGAGCAATGATTCAGTAATCACTAATTCGGTGTTCACAGCATTTTATAGAACATAAGTACTACAAATAGCAAGAATTTACTGTATTTTTTTAAATTGAAGACTAAATCAAAAACTTAAAAAAAAAAGTTTTCTTGTGGTTGGGGGAGGGAAAAACAGACTGCTGGAAAGGAGAAGAATGAAAACTTGACTTTGAATATACATTGTTTTTGTTTTTTAGATTTAACTTGTAATCATGTATATGTTTTATATAATGATAAGTTAATAAAATGCAATCCCTAAAAATCAAAAGCAGACTGAAATAAATGAATTATATACTGACCTGGTGGCATAGCCTGGAAAGGAATTCACTAAAATGACTTTAGAACACATAATTTAACTATAAATTCCTAGTTGTACATGAAGGACAAAAAGAATTGTAAAATTATCCTAAACTGTTCTACTAAGTATATTGTTCATAGTGTAATTGTGATTAATATCCTGAAACTAGCATATATCATAGAACAAAGCAAATATTAGTTAACTGTTAATGTCATTAGAAACCAAGATTTTCAGAAAAAGACAGAAAAAAGTACAAATATAAAATTGTAGGTTTTTTATGTAAGTTCTTTAAAACTAAATTTGAATTTGGAAATAGCAGTAGAGTCTATGGTGTATTTTGTCTTAAGCAAACAAAAAATGTTTTCTCTACTTCCATTTTCTGAAAAGGCTTAGAAATCCTGCCCAACTCAGAATGAGTGAATGCCACTGGCATCTAGATTGTAGTCCCTAGATATCATTTCTTATGGAAGAAAATGGGGGTTCTTTGAAAAAAATGGCCAATTCCAGGTCTTGGGCAAGAAATGAATGGGAAGCCTAGAGCACTTCATCATTTTGGAAAGCAGAGGCTATCAAAGACTACTGAGATTATGTTAAAAGGGCAAGAACCAATTTATGAATATTCCTACTGGTCATAGATTGGACAACCTGAGCATCAGTAATAGTAAGAGGACTAAAATACATCACAGATATTTAAATCCATGAGTTTGTAATGGTACCTAAAAACAAACAAACTACTTACTGGTATCCTTTGGAGTATATTAGGAAACCAGATCATAATTCTGGAAACTTATTAATAAAGGAATGATAACAAGCATTCATCTTACCAGCAAGAATTATACCTCATGGCAACCAAATGGTACATGAGAGGAAGCTCTCCATCTTGGAGGTGTATGAGCTAATGAACAAGCAGTAATGCTGAAATTAGAGTATCTGTATTTTGTACCCCAAATGAAGTAAGAGATGATCATCATTGACTGGAAATATTACAAAAAGACAACCTTTCATTGTGTGCCTCCTGAAGAAAGTCAATACCACCACCAGTAAAGCATGCTTGATTAAGAAGATCAAACCTAGATATGATCAAGTCTCTAGATCTAAACTACCAGTTTATAGGAAATACAAGGACAAAGGAACAGGTTAAAGCAACACCACAAGGATACAATCAGCAAAACGGAAATGTGGGAAATGCTTCAGGATAAACCACCTACTTTCTTCAACTCATAAATTGCAAGATAAAAACAAAATTGGAGGGGAAACCAGTAGTCTGTAAGATATTTAAAAGACATTTCAACCACTTGCAACAGAGGACTTTATTTGGATCATGAGCCAACAAATTATTAAAAATTTTTTTAGACACTTGAGGTAATCATACACTGGATATTATTTGATAGTAAGGAGTTGTGGTTTTATTTTAAGTGTGAATAATGGTAGTGTGGTTATGTTTTTTAAATTTATCTGTTAGAAATAAATACTAAGATTTTTGGATTAAATGATAAAATACCTGGAACTGCTTCAGAACTGTCCACATTGAGTGAGTGGGAAGTACGAATGAAACAAGACTGATCATGAATTAGTAATTTGAAGCTGAATAATGGGATACTTCCATTATCTTGTTATTTTTGTATGTATCTGAAATTTTCTATAGTAAAGAAATATGTAGAAATTGTAAACTGGTAACTGAAGCTCTTTAGTATTGGAAGTTCATTTTGTTTTGAAGGGTCTCATGTCACAAAAAAACAAAACTCAGACCCATCCTAGTGTTTATAATACACAAAAATATTGAGTTAATTAAATGGGAACTAAAGCAGGTTTGGGCTTCCATATATCAATTCTGGAATCTTGAAAAATTGTCTAAAAGATACGTATCTAGCAAGTAAGTTTAGCCAGCAGAAAGTTCAAAAATCATTTTTCTGTGTTGGTGGCTTGGTACAGTTGTAATTGGATTGACAATTTTGATGCATGTCATGATGCAAATAGCTATAAAGTAGCACATAGGGAAGAAAAACTTATTTCCACTGATGTTTCCTTTCAGGCATTTGACATTATCACAGACTGACATGGCAGCATTAACAGGAGGAAAGGTAATACTTTGTATATTAGAGGATTTGATCATCTCACAAATAATAATGGTTCTTAAATGAACAACTTTTACTTTTAACAGGGATTCCCCTTCTTATTTCAACATATTCGTGATGGCATCAATATAAGACAAACTTGTAATCTGATTTTCAGCCTCTGTCGATACAATAATCGACTAGCAGAACATGTAAGTGCTGAGAAACAGTCTTAAAGCTTTTTGGTAATTTTTAAAAGAATGTCCTGAAATCCTCTGTTTTGTTTTGTTTTGTTTTAGATTGTGTCTATGCTTTTCACATCAATAGCAAAGTTGACTCCTGAGGTATGTACACATTAGTTAATTCATGTTTTTAAGACTACTAGCGCTTTCAAATAAACCTTTCTAATTGTTCTTGAAAAAAATATATCAAGGTTTCTCCCATGACACAGCTTAATTTTTAGTATGTAACTTAAATAAGCTGAATTACTCCTTTATATCTTACTATCATAAATGTAATTTTCCCAATTAAATACAAATTTACATATAAGTTCAACATATTGGAGTGCCACATAGATACTAAACTTTAAAGTTGTTTGATTTGAAGCATATATAATTGTGTTCAAGAAAAAAGTAGACTAACCAGATGAAAAAAATGTGGAAATATAATACAGTATTATACAAATGTATTTTTGTAAAATGGTAATGTTATAGCTTAGCTACATGATACTTTGTCAAATATTAATGTAAACTACACCTTAGAGATCAAGGGATGCTACAAGAAACTTTTAACCTAAATTATTCTATGAATAAGGTTGTCTCATTAATAAAAGTTTTGATTGGTTTTTTCAAACTGATACCTAGAAAAATACATGTTTTCTGTTACATGTGGTGCCTGTGCTATTGACTTTTTATCCCAAGTTATAGTTCAAGTTTATATGCAGGAGTCCTGAGATCTGCTAACCTAACACAGATTTAAATGTGATGTGTAGAAGAGTTTTACATGTTTCTTTTCTTCTAAAACAGGTGGGTTCAAGTACATTTAAATACGCAGTTATGTATGTGTCTTACAGGCAGCCAATCCTTTCTTTAAATTGTTGACTATGCTAATGGAGTTTGCTGGTGGACCTCCAGGAATGCCTCCCTTTGCATCTTACATTCTACAGAGGATATGGGAGGTAAGTCTTGCAGTAGGTGTTTCAGTATTTCTTCTTCTGAGAATTTTATTTTTCTAATAAAGTCATTACCAGTTTAAGTACCAGTTTCTTCTGACTTGGGTAATCCAAAATGAAAGTTTTAGTAGGACACAAGTCAGGGAAGAAGACTTGCTTTAGTTGGGAGGCTTGGGGAGGACAAAGAATTCTTGTCTTTCAGGACAAGTTTAAACACTGTTGTAGAGTCATAAAAAAATCTTTGGCCAGTCGAGGGTTTTCATTCCCTTCCCCTCAGAGAAGAGTGATAGAATCTTAGAAATACAAGCTAAGTGTTTTCAGCAGTTGACAGAAATGGTACAGGAAGTACTAACCACGTCCTTTCCTTCAGAGTAACTGCTGGGGTCATAGAGTTTCTCTTTAGTGAGTGGTAGGAAAACCTGCACTCTAGACCAGGGGTCAGCAAACTTTTTCTCCAGCTGGTCAGTTAGCAAACATTTTAGGTTTTGTGGGCCCTGTGATACCTTTGCAACCACTTAACTGCTGTTTTAGCCTAAAACCATCTAGACAATACATAAATGAGTGGGAATGGAACTGGCCTGAAAGCCAAATCTAGATTCCTAAGATTTCTTTATCCCATGAAAAAAATCTCCCCAGCGTGCAGTTAGTACATTTTATTCTCGTGCAATAATAGATTGGGCACACAGTAAGAAAAATAAAGATGAGAAACTTCAGAGAATTAGAAGCACTTTTTTTTTTTTTAAGATTTTATTTATTTATTTGACAGAGACAGCGAGAGAGGGAACACAAGCAGGGGGAGTGAGAGAGGGAGAAGCAGGCTTCCTGTGGAGCAGGGAACCCGATGCGGGGCTCTATCCCAGGACTCTGGGATCATGACCTGAGCCGAAGGCAGACGCTTAACAACTGAGCCACCCAGGCGCCCCTAGAAGCACTATTGGTTCTATGTTAAAGTCCTTGGTTATTTTAATTTTATTTTGTTAACTAATGACAGATATTTCTGAATATATCCTGTTGATAAATGTAGTTTTAAAAATGGAGAGGAGCACCTGGGTGGCTCAGTTGGTTAAGCATCCAACTCTTGATTTTGGCTCAGGTCATGATCTCACGGCTGTGGGATCGAGCCCTGCATCAGGCTCTGCACTCAGCGTGGAGTCTGCTTAAGATTCTCTCTCTCCCAGTCCTTTTGCCTTTCCCCGCCTTAAAAAATTAATTAATTAAAAATAAAAATGTAGAAAAACATGGGCGAAACTTCTCTTAGGCTCTAGTTTTCAAAAAACTCTCTTGGCTAAGTGTTCAGTGGCATATACCAAAAGTAAGTAAAAAAGTAACTCCTTAATCGGTTTTATATTCTGTTCTTGTCATTTCATTTTTAGGTAATTGAATACAATCCTTCTCAGTGTTTGGATTGGTTGGCAGTACAGACACCCCGAAATAAACTGGCACACAGCTGGGTCCTACAGAACATGGAAAACTGGGTCGAGAGGTTTCTTTTGGCTCATAATTATCCTAGAGTCAGGACTTGTAAGTCAAATATTCAGAACTTAAACCATTTGTTGTTCCAGGTTTCACTTTTTTGTTTTGTTTTTTAAGGCAATTACAATAATGCCCATTGTTGTACAGTGCAAAGTCTTTTGGAGATATTGTTCTTAAAGGCCGAAGTTACATTAGTATTTGGAAATGGCAGTGTTTTGCAAATATGTACTGTGGTTTGGGTGTTTTAAGGATAGGAAACTGTCCTGTCTTGGGTGACATCACCACCACCGCCGTTCTTGTTTCCTTGCTTGATAGATTACAAAGCATGATCAGCATTAAGTGAAGAGAGGAAAGGATCAGAAAATCCCATCTTAAAAGTAACTTTAAGGCTAAGAGGAAAGTAATAAAAAGGCATAGAACAAATTGAGAGAAAATATTCAATGAAATCATGGGAGTTAAAATGATAAACACCTTTACACAGGCTGGAAGGAAATAAAGATCTTGGAAGACAGAAGGACAAATACGAAAAATAGGTATTTTACAGATTAGAAAATTGCTTGTAAATAAATAGAGTATGTTCTCCTTTGATTTCTTTTATTCAAAGAAACAAAAATCAAAGTTGTTATTTTTTTAAATTTCTTTAATCATTAAAATCATTTTTCCTAGCTGTCTGCTGAAAGGGCATAGAATCAGTGATACTACAGTAGCAATATGCACATCAAATACCCCCAGATCTATGTTTCTAAAGACCATTCTCCAATAAAACAAATAGTAGCTCTTTGAAGAAATGGCTGATTCTAGGTCTTGGGCAGGTAATAATACAAGATGAGCCTGGAGCATCTTTTTTTTTTTTTTTTTTAAAGATTTTATTTATTTATTTGAGAGAGAGAGAATGAGAGACAGAGAGCACGAGAGGGAAGAGGGCAG